CTCATACATCACGTTCAATCAAGACTCCTGGCGTTATTGTGGCCTCTTCATGTAGCAGAGGTGCCCATAATGAAGGTTTATGTAGTACACAGTCTACCCATGTTGGCTGGCTAATCTCTCACCTATAGCAATGACTCCAGTCTATCATTACACATTTTATTGCAGAATTACTTTGGACCACTACTAATTAGAGTAATTATTTAACTTTTAAGCCTTTTTTTTCCCCCCCATTGCTGTGCTTGTTTTCAGTTTCTCCCTCTGTTTCGCCTTCTTTTTTTATCTCTCACTATCTTTTTCTCTTTCTCTGACGGGAGTTGGTTAAATGACATTTATCATGAAATCATTTCCAGTCTCATGACCCGTGTTTAATGACGGCTTGGAGGAGAGTCACAATCGAGGTTTGACTGACACTTGTCACTTTTTTTCCTGCTTCTTTCGTTGTCTTCATTTCCAGAAAGCATCAAACATGACTAATACCGGCTCACATGAAAGAATACCTGAAAACAATTCCGCGAAGATACCCAAAGTTTTGTTTATTCGTCTTTCTCCTTACGACAGCCATGTGTAACGCAGCCTGTACTGCCAGCTTCTGAAGACACTGTGAACCTAGATCATTTGCTCCAAAGCAGTTATCGGATACGAATCTAATTTACATTTTTTTATTTTTATTTTGAGCGACTTAAAAGTTCACTTCAATATCGCTTGACAATTACGTGGAAACACAGTTACTGTCAGTACATTCGTTCCCCGATTTGCAAAAGAAAACGCAGCGATACTGGTTATTTTGCTGTAGATAACCGACGAGGCTGCAGGCATTGTTTACATTGCTGTCTGTGCAAGCAAGTGTTGAGCAGTGACGGACATTTCTGGTCTTACTCATCCACCAGTGGTCCGCTGCAGATATTTTTCACAGCTATGCAACAAAAATTCTTCGAGTCTACACCGACACCTGCAATGCCCTTTGCAAATGAATGGTCATGTGACATACCTTGTTAGTGTGCACAGAGATAAATGCTTCTCTGAATGGCAGTTGTTTTCCTTTTAAAAGACTGGATGTAGCTCCAGGCAGCTGCATCACATGTCACACTAATGGCAAAGAAAATATTTTTTTTATTGATGGGGGAACTGTGAGTTCTTGGGAGCTTTTGGTAATTCAATAACTTTAATTTCTGCCCAGTGAAGAAAAAAGATAAATATATTATAGTTATAAATATATTTTCTTCATCCACAGTGCAGCGCTATCTTGTCAGTCATGTAGGTAGTCAACATGCCAGCTTGGTTTTAGCTGGTGTGCCAAAGAGGAACAAAGAAAGACTCTCGTTATTTACATACATCTCATACAGGACTACATGGGTGCAGGTTTCTCTGGAGATGGCAGTCTGAGCAGCGTAAGTCCAAAGTGAGAAGTTTTCTCGAGTATTGCGTACGTGGATGAACAACAGTGGTATCAGTGGTGTGTTTTTAAATGATCACATAGGTTTAAAATGTCTGTAGTGAAGGCATTGAGTGGCAGAAGCTTCTGCTTTTACTGCAATAATGTAGGAATTTTGTTCTGTTAGTCTCACTGAAGGCACATTAGGTGTGACACGGCCTTGTGTGCGAGAGAGAAAAGGACGAGTGGGAGGCCTCGTCGTCACCACAGGTGTGACTTCTCTCACTGTCTGCTGCTTTATTGCATGAATGGATAGATGAAACAGCGACAAACAATTCAGGTTTTGTTGTTTTCAGTAGATATGTCCCGTCTGGATTTTTTTCCCCCCACCTTGCCAATAAACACAGTCGGGACAGTCACTCTGAATTCTGCCTTTCTTTAAGAAAACCTGCGCTGTCCTCGGCTACAGTGGAGCCAACGACCGGCTGGAGTGGAGACAATGTGTGGAGGGAGAGGAGAGATAAGGAAGACGAAGAAAGGAAAAGAGTGGGGTGGAGAGTGGAGCAAGGGTGTTGTCAGGGGAATAATAGAATGCCTCAGAGGCCCTCACAGACACTGGGCAGCAGGGCAGGGGGAGGAAAATGGTGTGGAAGAGAGGAATAGGAGGTTAAGCCAGCGAGAGCAGCAGAGAGAGAAACAGCAGGGGAGTCTGCTGAGAGAAGTGGCAAATACCTTCAGGGTGAATTGCTGATTGCGAGCCAGGCCGACTGAGGGACTGAAGTGATGACACACCTTTTGACTAAGCCTTGACTCACACTCCAATCTTTGTCCCAGTGTGTGAAACGCATAGCCTGTTTTGTTCACAGCAGTAGCTTAGTGATAAATCTGACATTTTAGCTCTGTGATTTATACTCTTTATAGCTTATCACTTATCCAGCTCTCTTATCATTGAGTCTCATTGATCATTAATGCGAAGCAGCCAAAGTACTCCGCTGTGTTTATTCTGCTCAAAGTCGGTAAAAGTGTATGTTTTTGTGCGTTGTTGTTGACAAAGGTTGTGAATTGTGCCCGTGTAGTTTTGTTTTTATTGAGGGGAAAGGTTCCTACAGGCTATTTGCAGCTGCAGCGGAGTGTCCCTCGCAGGCCTTCATCACGCTGAGCGTTTGTTAGCACCAGGTTACTGAGGGATTGGCCTAATGGATGGATGGCTGAAGAAAGGGCACGCACACCACATTAATTCCCTTTCCCTCTGCCATCTGAGATGCTGCGTGGCACTTCAAAGTTGGGGAAGGGTGGTGTTAATCCAGGGGCTGCAGTGAGCCCTCCACTCTGCTGCGCTGTACTCAACTGTTCACCCTTTCCCCAGCCGTGGCCCCCAGCCTTTTCGAAGTGTGATCAAAGTGCAGTTTGTCTCTGATGGATGGGCTCACTCTGGCCCAGAGGCTGCCTGACAGGGGACCTGGAAGTGGATGGGAGCGTGACACAGGATCTCTAGCCTGCGTCCTATGCACATGCTAGGCAGGGATACGCGCAGTATTTTTCTGAGCTGATGTCTATGCCAGCGCTCTGCAGCTGTACAACATACGTACATGAGAGCAGACCATGAGTCATGTGCTAGCTTGAGCAATGGTTTAAGCCTTTAGTCAGTCTCTTTGTTGTTAGAAGTCTGTGTCCCTTGTCTAGGCTTGATGTACACTACACAATATTGCAGTTTAGGCAGGTATGCCATGCAGTTTTTCTTGATTTGAGAAGACCCTGTATGAAACCAGTGTCCCTAAAAGCATTCCTGCTCACGTTAGTTTCTAAATTAACATGTCTGGTACACTGACTGTAGCGTGAGCTGTAGAACTCAGTGATTTAATAAAAAAAACTTTTTAGTGTGTCTACAAGCAACAGAGCATCAATAATCTGACCGTCAGCACGTCCAAATTCTACATTTTTAGTCATTTTCAGTGGATGTCTAAAGGCACCAGCGTTTCAACCGATACCTGAAGGTTGTGAAACAGTCGCACAGGTCTTAACAAGCAATTGATCCTTCTTCCACGTTTTCAAGGTTGCAGGATGCCAGGGATGCATTTACCACCCACGAGGTTAAACTATGTCTGTAACGTTGCTTAAGTTTCCTTTAAGTGTTGGCATCTTTATCTCAAGATTTAAAACATCATTTGGTTTTTCTCCTGGCGCTCACGCATACTTGCTCAACGTGTTTCGTAACCTCTGGTCCTATTGTTTAAGCTGTTGTTGTCCAATTTATCTTAAAATCCGGATTGTGTTATGTCACGAGCATGTAGGCTTTTAAATTGTCATTTGCTTTAAAGGGTTCTTCCTTCGAGTCACGACTGATTTTTATCTGTTGTCATCAGACTCATTCTCCTGGTATGTGTCGAAGCGACTTGTTTTTTTGTTTGTCCTTCATGAGCTTTTTTCTTTTCCGACCCCAAGCAGAAACATTTATCTTATCCTGTTTTTCAACTTTTTCCTCAACCTCCTTTCTGGTCCTCCTCCTCCTCCTCCTCCTCCTCCTCCTCCTCTGTTTTTCATCGTGCTGACTTGTCGGCTCCTGGCTTCCGTCACTCTCCATGGCTGGGAGGCGTGTACGCTGACCTTTGGTAACCTCTGAGCTCAGCCAGGTTCCTCCAGAGAGAGGCAGAGTTCGAAGAAATAAGTGACCGCACAATAATTAAACGTGCCTCCATGTCTCTGAGATCATTTAAGATTAGTTTTTTTTCTTAAAGCTGGGAGGAACGGATACCATAGAGATAAATGAAAGAGGCAGAGTGACACAGAGTAGAAGTCTGTTGTTAGAGAGCAAGCACCAGGAAGGGTGGGGAGTGGTCAGCCGCAAGCAGTCGTGTTCTTTTTCTGAGGAGCCTAAAGGGTTCGCTTGCTTTGCTTCCTGCAAAAGAGATCTTTAATTGAAATGGACACTTGGCTGTTGGGACAAGTGGCATTTGCATTTCTGCCCCCTCAGCGTCGTTTTTTCTCTACGCCTCGCTCTCCTCCTGCTCGAATCCGGAGCCTTTGGGTATCGCTGGAGAGAGCGGTGCTTGCTGGGAAGCCGTGCGGGGCACCGTGTCTCGGTTGGTCAGCGGAGGAGAGGAGGGATCACGGCTGTGTTGCAGCTCTCGGCCCCTGCTGCCTGCCATCTTTCCCTGGTTGCTTTCAGGTCTTTTAGAGTTTGCTTTGCCAGTTACTGCCGCTTCATAAAACCTCAATGGCTGAAGCACAATGCCAGGCAGGAGAGGGGTCATGGCTGAACTTGAACCTCAGCTACAGTCCAACAACCACTGGCAAACCAAGAAGCCCTAATGAGACTAGTTGGAAATTCCGATCATCCCTCCTGCTGTCTACCTCTGCCAACTCACCTTGCACTGATACCAACACTTGTATGCTGATATATCGTCGTCTTCTTCGTTGTTTGCATATGTCCTATTCCTCTCCTTATAGGCTTATAATTGTTTGCTCTTAATTAAAGTTTTCTACCTTTAAAACTGGTTCCATCGTTGTACAGCTGACACGTGACAACGTTTAGCATCGTGTTTTTCTGCACAGATATTGAACCTTTTGTTTGTCAAGCTACAGTATTTTTAGCGGGTGCATTAACTCTGTCTCCTTTCACTGTGTCCAGGAGCTGGAGAAAGCCCTGTCAGAGCAGGACTTGGACTTCCTGGGGGATCTCATTGCCTGTCTGTTGCAGGGATGCTACCAGCGCACTGACATCACGTAAGTATAGAATGGAAAAGGAACCTAGCATGTTGTCAGATGTTGCCAGGCCATGTCAGGCCTTGAGTCACGGTGGAAGGGGAAGCTTTATTAAACTGGAAATGCATGTGCAGATAATAGAAAACGCACCTATCACCACTGGATTCTGGTCTTGTAGAGATACACAAAGTTTAAATACAGGAAGCAAATTAACTTGTTTCAGCACATTATAGTCAAACTCTACCTAAATTAAAGCCACTACTCCTGCACATCTAATTCTTGGGCTGAAGATAAAGAACTGCTAAAAATATTGTGATAGTGTTTGGCTTTGTCAGATCAAAAGATGGTAATATGGTGAGCAAAGGACGATAACCCATCTTATTGCTGCTGAAGGCTGCAGCGATTAGTGTGGGAAACCTGGATTCTAACATGATCTCAACCCTCAAAGAACTGTAGGAGGCAATGGAAGCATCTCCTCCAGATTTTAATGGAACATCAGAGGCACAGTGGAAAACAATTAACATTTTCAAGTTAATTTTGTTGCCATCAAGATAGACAAGTATTTCCACTTACTTCAAACTAGTCACGTCGCCCAGGAGCCTTTAGTGGAAGTCTGAGTCACCGGTATGATAACTTAGCGAGGAGTCAGAACTTACTCACCGTATGGTTGTGAAATGTGGTGTGGTGAAATCATGCTCTACTACCACCGCAACATATGAAAGCAGCGTAGCCACTGAAACCCCACACCCCCGCAATCAAATGATGGGAGAAAGTGAGTATGCAGCAGAGGGTGTTAGTCAAATCCACAGATGCATTCAGTCTCTCATGGGGTTTCCCCCCCTCTATACACCTCCTTCTGCAGCCCATCATTAGAAAGTAGCGTAGTGGTACAGTGAACTGATAAGCTTAGAGGCAGGAATGATCCAGTTTTCCAACCAGGCAGCCAGTAGCAGGAGGACAGGCTGCTTTATTGGACTGGACAGGCGCTGGCATCCTGGGGGTGGCTGCTCAGCGCTGGCCTTTCACAGAGCTGCCCTTTTCATCCGCACGCGTTAAACGCTCTGCCGGAGCGGGGGAAAGGAGGGAGGGAGGATGTTGGAGAGAACGAGGGGCAGAAAGGAGGAGAGGGATGGGGTAGTGAGGAGGGGGCAGCCTGCAGCTGTGTGAAAAGTGCACACTGCTCTTTCAAGATAAGCCATTTTTTCTGTTTTTCTTTCTCTGCGCTGTTGCATAGATGCTCACCCCTGCCCCTAGCCCTTGTTCTGTTCATCTGGGTTGGAACTGAAAGGTTCAGATTAATCGGCTAGACCTGAACCGGAACCAACATTTATTTACCAGCTCATAGCAGAGATACAACCCAACTCCCATTCAAAGAAACTACTTTTTCTTTTTCCAGCCCCACCTCTGTATTTCCAACCACTGTGATAGTTTGAACTTTGCTTGTTTCCTAAGCTGAAAGGATTCCAGTTTACATTAAACCACGTTGTACTGACTTTTAAAGTGTCACAAAGCATTTGCAGTTGAATTGGTTGTTTTTATCCACACTGACAGATCTTATCATTTATTAAAACATGTGCAGATAATGCATAAGAATGATTTGGAAAAGTGGTAAAAAGCAGTCAGATTAGAAAAATAAAATTAAATGGGTCGAATGTAAAAGTTCACACACAAATAGTAAACAGATGTACTCATCCCAAATAACTGAAGGTCTTAGTGGGGGTGAATTAGTGGGTTATCCTGTGCCAGAATAGCTGAAGGTTTTAGAGATGTAGAGGCAAAACAATAGAAAAGACACAGACAATGACGGTGTGATTGCTCTACTGTTAAGCCCCCAGGCATTCAGCAGTTACCTGGACGACATCATCAGCTACCGGTGGGAACTGGAAGAGGGGAAGCCCAATCCACTTCGAGAAGGGCCCTTTGAGAATCTCCCACCTCGCACCCAGGTGGAACTGCTGCACAGACTTTGTGACTACCGCCTGGATGCCGCCGACGTCTTTGACCTGCTTAAGGTACGCCGCCTATGGAAGGCAGCAAAGGGAGTCTGGAAATGTTTATTCACAACATGGATTTTAGGCGTTTTGCTCAGTGTTGAGTTGTTATTTTTTTTTGTTTTTGTGTGGAATGAAATCAGAGCCATGCAGTTGTGTGTCGTGGTTCAGAGTTTCCACTGACGCTGCTGCGGATACGTTAGTCAGAATTACCGCGTTATGCGCATGTGTGCGGTGAACAGGAGTTTCCTGAATTCAAACCATGGTGGTTTTTTGTAGATCACAGCACCTGAAGTCACCTCAAACTGGGTGTTGCTCTTTAAATCATGATCAGAATTTTTATTTTATTCACTGAAATGTCCTGTGGTGTACGAGTTCCATTCACGTTGTAGCTTAGTGTCGGTAAATATATGCGCTGCCATAAGCTAGAGTGCCGTTAATATTAACCTCCTTGCTATCTTTCAATTTTTACATCACATATAGTTTTTCTAAATAATTTATTGACTTGAATTCATGAATGCATTCAGTAAGAAACCCTAAGTGCTCCGTGTGTGTGTATTACTCACAGCTGTGTGAGCTCAAACGACTGAATGACTTCATCCACTAATGACTGATGATTTTAAAAACAGCCCCATGTATGATTTAGGAAATGTTCTGTCCCTACCCCCCACCTCTTTCAGGGCCTGGATGCAGATAGCCTGAGGGTTGAACCCCTGGGGCAAGATGGAAATGGGGCCCTCTACTGGTACTTCTACGGCACTCGTATGTACAAAGAGGAGCCAGTCAAGAGGAGAGCAGAGAAGTTCAGGTAAATACCGATGGGTAACGTACATCTTCCTTTTCTGTCACGCACAGCAGGAATGAATGTGGTGTCGCTGGTTTTCTGCAGTTAGTGCATGTGGTAAGGGTGTAATTACAGTAGGAGCTTAGCACTTGTTTACAGGCCTGTTAAGGGTTAATTATAGAGGTTAATTATACAGGTCTTCTATTGCTAATTACCCATGTTAAAAGACTATAATTTTTTAAAAGCTGTTTGATTCTATGTCTTGCTTTGTTCAACAGTGAAACAAGCGAACTAACGTTACCAGAGAAAAAGAGAAGGGGAAGACCACCAAAGAAGAGAAAGTTAGAGGACCCTCAGCTAAGGTGAAAAACACTGTTTGGTGTCAGTGCCAGGGGGGTAATGTAGTGAAATACTGACGCCGCACAGCCGTGCAATGTGCTGCACAGATGCACTGGTTATGTCAAATGAAAGCATGCGTTTAACTGTCACAGCAGCTGCCACGGCTGTTTGCCATGTGGTCCCTGGCTGCGTGGATATTAGTTAAGGTTTGTGTGTTTATATATAGAAACAAAAAAAGCTGCTCAGAAAATAATACAAAGATCAGGCTTTTGAGGATTTGTGTTTTGGTGTTCTTTGCTCTAAATTACTTGTTGACCGACTGCTCAATCTGAAATGTAATCAGTATTTGAGTATTTCTTGGGCCGACACGCTCCAACCATATTCTGACCACATGTGTGTGTTTATGATCTATAATTAATTTCAAAAAGCAGTCGCGTGGAAGCACAGCATGAATTTATTTAAAAAATACAAGACAGTTGCTCAAATATTAAAGAACTTTCTGGTCACGCTCTTGTTTGTAGGAAACATTTTCGTTTTATTTATTCCTGTTGTTTTGTGTTCCTTTCAGTGAGGTGGAAAGTGAGGTGTCAGAAGTGCCGACAGAAAATGGACTGGAGGACCTTCCCCCAAGCACAGGTGAGAGGACTGCATGAATATAAGCATCGTAATTTCCATGCGGACTGTGTGCTCACGTTCCGACCACCATTTTCTCTCACTTAATTGTGTCTACAAATTTTTCCCTGGAATCAATGATCCAGCGTCTCTCGTCTTTTTTTTCTCCCAGCAGGTCGTAAGCGAGGCGCCTGGTCCCTCGTGTGTGATACGGAGGAGCAGTGGGTCAGCCTGGCAGAAAGCATCAAGGACAAAACCTCTCCACAGGACCGCCACCTCTACCGCGTCATCAGCCAGAACTTCCTTCCTGAGATCAGCAGCATGATTGAGCACAAGGTCAGACACTGAAATGACTGCCATCAGTCCCCATTACAGCAGGTCATGATGTCTTCTAGGTCTCTGGATGCAGACTATCATGCAGACTATGATGTTAAAGCAGTCATACGCAGCATTACATGGAGTGCACGGCTGTTGTTTGAACAAAATGTGTAACATGTACGAGGGTAATATGAGGAAATACAAACTCATAAACAGAAAGTTATACCAACAATTTTCTTAAAATTTTAACTGCTGACTGCTGTTTTCATTTAGTTTTATTTTAATAAATGGCCAAGAACTGCATTTAATATCTTCGCAGATCGTAGCTATCGTGACTTTAAGCTAAACTTAAGCTAAAATCTGGCCTGTAAGTCTGATGTTCTCTGCTCTCTGTTCAGCTGCTCATATGTTCCGGCGCAGATCACTGTCCTCCTACAGTGGTTGTTTTTAGGATCGCGGAGTCTTAACTGTGCCAGCTACAGGACAGGTGGAGAGAAGGAAAGCTGTTCTCTGCTTGCCCTTAATTCTGTGCACTGGCTTGCCAAAGATGTTGGCCCCAGTCCTTTAACCCTCTGAACCCCAAACAGTTTCTGGGCTTTTATTTGCTCCCGTCGTATTTTTACTCGCTGTGGGCTCATTTTGAAATATAAAGTATCTCTGTCGAAACCACAAAACAGTGACTAGAAATAGAGAGAACTAAAAATGTCTGTAAAATTTAATATCTATGATTATTTATTTTACAAAATTGGGGGGAAAAAATGGAATTGACGTTTCTCAAAGTGCCAACAAGTGTTAGCAACAGTGGAGAAAACATGGTGACTAAGCTGGTCTCTAATGGTTTCTGCCCAGAATTTCATGTTTTTTACAGAATCTTATTTGAGCAAATGCTTTTTTAAAAATTATTATTTTTGTTTTTAAATGAGATAGACATGCAGAATATAGAGAGTTTGATGAACTATCACCATTCTAGGCTTAGATTTGGTTTTCCAATGGAGCAGATGAGTATTTCAAGGATGGCTGCTGAGTTAAAAATATAGTATTTCCTGTTGTTTTGACAGTTTCCACCTCAGATAAATGATGTAGTTTTGTCATTTGTTTTTAAAGATGCATTTCAGACATTTGTTTATTCTAGTTTTCAGGGTTAACTTGAGCTCGCCTGTATGAGAAGTGTTCTCTTTTGGTAGAACAAGTGACCGAGTTTTGTTGTCGGCTGCTTTGGGCTTGGTCATACCTTGGGTCATGTTCATTTGTGTATCATGTATACCTTGGAACTCAGTGTTAAGTACCTCAGGGGGGAGATTATACACATATTTCTTGCCCTGTTCGAGCATGTCAGAGCCAACAGCACTTCCTTTCTCTGGTTTGCTATGAGAATAATTTACGCCATTGATTGCTTCAGCGAGTCAAATCCAGTGTCGGTCGCTGTTTTGAGCCTTCATGTAGGTAGGTTACAACTGGATCGGTGGCTGCCGTCTACTCCTGTGATATAGCACCGACTGTTGCCATAGAAACCCGTTGAGCCTTTCTCCATCATCATCAGCAGTGAGGTAAAGAGTCCCGCTGGCAGCTCGATGTGGGCCGAGGGGTCACTCACTAATTTTAAACGGTCAGTGGATGATGTCCTTCATCAGCGTTACACTCGGCTGTACCACTCGTACGCACGTTTTACATAGGATTCAAAACATCTCTGTTTGCACAGCGTCTCTTGGTACATAATGTTACTCTGGTGGGTCATCGTAGTGAATGCTGCAGTACAACTAATAGATGTTTAAATGGAAAGTACAAGAGTTATCACAGAGAAATTTAATTTATCTGCTTCCATTTGTAGAAGCTTGACATTCCACTACAGCACCAAAACACGCGTGTGTAAAGACGACTTTCTTCATCTTTTATGATCTCTATCAAACATGATCACAGTGTGGAAAAAGCTCTGATTAATTAGAACGTGCTCAAAGGCTCAGTTAAAGGGAACCACATTCCCCTAATGTTCTCCTTGTATGCAGATACATCTAACTGATGTCACACAGCAGGGGATCGCACTGGAACACCCTGCTTATTAATCATACTCATTAGATCACCACCGTGGCACAGTTTAGATACCGTCCTTGATTTGCTGCAGAAGATCAGATGTATCTCGGACCACCCGAAGTAAAACTCATCGCCTCGATGAGAAATAGAAGTGGTTTTCCCTGTGTGTTGTTTGTTGTCAATCATCAGACAAACTTGAAATATCTTAACTTCCTCATTGTCCTTTCACTTCATAACTAGAGTTAACGTGAACCAAAGATCAAACCAGATACCAGAAATCTGGGAAATCATCCAGAACCCAAAGATCAGTTCAGTTTACAGCGATACAGACCAGAAGCAGCCTGTGAATCGTTAAAACATTTTCCTGATGAATTACTTTTATTAAAATTGTTATCAGTAAATGTTCTGTCGGGTCACTCATTAATTTATAGGCTAATTATTTGAGCGCTAATTTGCTCGTGCAGTTTATTCGCAGCCTGAGCAGTCGGCCATTTGATCTAATAAGACAAACGTCTAAAACGGTTCTTGCGTCTTGCTCAGTGTGTTTGTCGCTCTTTTTTTTTTCAAGTTGCATATCTGTGCACAAAAATATCAGTCTTTACGTTGGTGTGTTCATATAAGCATGCCAAATACAGTGTGTATATTTTCTCAAATCTGTCTTCCACGTGTCTCCGGCTGCTGTCACCAACCATTTCACGGGGCGCTGACAGCTGGCAGGAGCTCACCTTGAGGCACGATGGAGCCTCTTGAGTGACAGCTCTGCTGTGCTGCAGGATTCTGTCAGCCTCTCTAAGCAGCGACACCAGCGGCACTTTATCTTGTGTGTGTTGGATGGTGGGGGGAATTTAGTGCTGGTCGTAATGTAGGGAGGGTTGCAGAGCCTGGGGATACGTCAGTGTTTCCCACTAAGACGAGGCAGAGATGAAGTGGGGACACAAGAGTTGTGGAGGGCACTCTACCGTAGATCAGATCATGAGCATCTGTCTTTCCTTTGTCTTCTATCTCCTCTCAGCGCCTCTCTTTTCTTTCACTGCCTCTCACATCTTCCCTCCTCCTTTACCGCCTCACCTGCACACACACACACACACACACACACACACACACACACACAGGCTTCACATAGTGGGTGATTTTAAGCTCTCCCTGGTTGCTTTATGGATGTCCAGAAGTGCTGTTAGCTTTGCCGGGCTGACAGGTCTTCACAGTCCTGCTGGCCAGATAAACTCTGACATGAGCTGCAGAGGCCAGTTCCTGATATAGACAGGCTTTCAAAGGATCTGCTTGGAGCTCTCTGTTAGCTGCTGTTTCCTCCTTTACTGGTTGCTATAACCTCTAGTATGTCACTGATATGTCTTCATATGTGTATTGCTAACTATATTTTCAGGATTAAAATGTTCAAAAGTTGAAGGTTTGGCTCGTGTCAAAGTGGCACAGCATGTCTTCACACTAACTCGAGCAAATTATTACATATATTTAATGGAGTCATGCAGAACACACGGTGTAATTTTTCTGTTGTTGATTTATTTCCTTGACCAAGCTTAGCTGTCACCCTCAGGCAGAGATAGGAGGGAGAGCGAGGGTGACGTGGGGGAGGGGAGAGCAGAATCATTGACCTCTCAATACTCACTGCTCCTCCACCACACCCGCAGGCCTTTCAGTGTTTCTAGCTTACGTGTGACGGTCGTCTATTTGCCTTGAAGCCTCAAAATAAAAACTGTTGGCCATATAAATTAGAGGCATATCTGCATACAGTGTGTCACTGGGAAAAAATAAGGAAGGAGTAGAAGTTGTGGTTGTAGGTGACAGGAATGGAAAAAACACCAATATCAGAAAAAACCTAATAGTTTTCAATTCACAATTTTTGTTTACATCTGGATTACAGGGACACGAGGCAGGACATTTTAGAACATCACAGAACAGGATTAGTAATTTCTCTCCCTCTGTGTCTCTTTTCTTTTTTCTTTCTTTTCAGGAACGGGAGCAGAAGCAAAAGTTATTAGAGCCAACCTCAGTTCGCACATCACAACGGTTTTCTGAAAATCACATTAAACACGAGGAAGAGGTATGTGTGTGTGTGTGTGTGTTTGTGTGTGTCTGCAATCAACTGCCAGCACAAGACGGACAGAATCTGCATTGATTGACTGAACAATGCTAAATAATTAATGGCACTTTCCTGTTTTTAGCTATTCTAATGCATTGTAGGACAGTGAGTTATTTTTCACCTATGGGAGTATTTTTGGGGTTTTGGCAAATCTGCTCTGTGGGTCGCTCCTTGTTTTGTATTTGGAAGATTCATATCGTTGGGAGATACCTTCCATGAGGACAGAGTAGATTAATGGACTTGTGTTCATGCATCCAGGACAATCCCAAGGCCGTAACGGAGGAGGACAAGAAGAAGGATGAAGAGCTGGACAGACAGGTCCTGCTGGCCGAGCAGCGGCGAGAAGAGGAAAGGCTTCTGCAGGAAGAACGGCAGAGAGAGAAGATGGAGAAGATCAAAGCTGTGGAGGGTAAGATGGATGAATGTTTAAACAGAAAAGCAAATGGGAAGCTGTTCAGCGTGTGTTTGTGCAACTTGGAACTTATTTTCAAATCTAAATAATAACCCTGAGGGTGGCCCTACAGCGCGCTCGCATTCTTGGTGATAGTAAATGCAGAAAGGTTACAAATATATAATAAGGCTTTGTGCCAAAAGTCAAATATGGAGAAGCAGCAATAATTTCACATTCTTTCATCAGCGATCTGTCAGCAGCAGGTAGGAGGCTTTATCAAGGGCAGAAAGGATTGTCAAGGGCACCCCACACACAGGCTTTCACATCTTCATCGCTGTAGTTTGGCTCCTGACGGCTGAAAAATCAGCAGCAGCATAGCTGCACTCAAAGCCTTGTGATTTATGTATAGTACACAGAGACTGTGAGAGGGAATGTTCAGGGCCTTTAATCACAGGATCACTTCTCTTTTTCTCCCTCCCTCTGATGTCATCTGTCAAGGGTTAATGAACTGCTGATTGTGCTTCAGTGGAGGAGCCTCATTAATGTATTATAGATGAACAGCAGGACCTGGCCTACACTCTGTGTGGATTGCATATGTGGAATCCTCCCTCAAACATCTTTAATCCACACGGCAGGGGGGCTGGCAGGCCTCTCTGCCTTTCATGTTGAAAGATAAAGCAGTGATACATATGCAGCCTCTGTACTCAGTTCTGCTCTTTTGATCAACTGGGCCTAAGAAAAGACGGCCAATGAATCGCACTCCTTCTCCTCATCTGAGCTGCTGCTGCTGCTGTCTCTGATGGCCAAGGCCTGGTTTTCATTGACTCTCCTGACAGCCTCAATAGGCAACAAGTTCAATTCAAACTGTAACTACAAAACCGGAAAGGGCAATCACAGCATTGTTTTCCTGCACACTCCTACGGCTGGTGTTTTTTAATTGTTTGTGTTTCTAATTGCCCCTTGTGTTCATCCTTTTTTTTTTTTTTTAACCAGAGAGAGCAAAGAGGCGAAAGATGCGAGAGGAAAAGGCCTGGTTGCTGTCTCAAGGAAAAGACCTGCCGCCTGAACTCCTCAACCTAGAGCCCTCTTCTCCTGTCCACAGAACACGCAAGAATAAAGAATTGTAAGAGGCTGTTCACATGTAGCTTTAGATTGGCTTTCTACTTGAATCACTCAAGGTTGCTTTATTGTGACGTGCCCTGTGTTTGATGTTTCAGCTATGAGATTGACGACGACTACACTGCTCTGTATAAAGGTATGCTTCCAGGATGGTTGCTGACGCCTGTTGCTTTACATCAATCTGCATTAATGTGTGTTTTGACGTCTGATCTGATCTAATCTCCATTCTTCAGTGCTTGAGGCCCTGAAAGCCCATAAAGATGCTTGGCCTTTCTTAGAGCCAGTCGATGAGTCCTATGCCCCCAATTACCACGAGATCATTCAGGTACGAAACACTGTCGATGTTTTCACCAATAGTGTGACGTTGGATTTATTTATCTGTGTCTGCGTGTGTTTCACATACTAACTAATGCATTCAGTCACTGATATTTTATTATAGTTTATTGTAATCACATTGTTTTAATTTGACTGTTCTTCCAATGCCCTCAGACTCCCATGGACCTGTCCACCATTGAGAAGAAACTCAATGATGGAGAGTACGTTACAAAGGAGGAGTTTTGTTCTGACGTGAAGCTCATGTTTGAAAATTGCATGGAATACAACGGAGAAGACAGTGGTAAGGGAACAGCTCCACAAAGTTTCTCAGTACAGGACTAAAGCATCCAAATCCATTTTAGTATATGTGTGTTGTGAGAAAGAAGTGCATATATGCATTTCTGGGGTGAGAAGCAGGGGGTGAGAGGTGGGAGAGACTGCAAAAGAAAGGGGGCCGGACTTAGTGTGGTGTTGGGGCCGGGGCCAGGGCAGCCTTGACAGTGATTAATGGGGAGTGATTGAGTTGTGCTCCAGTGCTCAGGGGGCTCCGGGCCCTGCAGTGCCAGAGAAGCATTCCAGCCCCTAAGCCCCCTGTCTGGAGCCATCCATCCAGCTGAATACTCTCCCCAGGGATAAGGGGGAGGAGAGTGGTAAGGAGGCCCAGGGTGGAGCAAGAGGAGGAGAAGGAAGGGGTTGGAGGAGCAGGGGTCAGCCGACGCCCTCTGACCTGGTCAGTTGGCTAGCGCTGGGCTGAGAACAGAGGAGCAGTTTTGCATTCTATGTGGCATGCATATTGGTCTGTGTTTTTTAGGGAGTGTGTGTGATCTGTGTTTCTAAAAAAGGAAGTGACTGTGCATGTAGATGAATGTACTGCAGGTATGTGATTTATGTGTGTAACTGTGCGTGTACAAGATGTTGTGGTTGTATGTAAAAACTTTTGTGTGTTTTATCATCTGAGCTTTACTGATGTTGGTGTCCCTGCATCCTCAGAGTACACTATCATGGCGGAGTCTCTAGAACGGTGTTTCAGCCGGGCAATATTAAAACACTTCCCATCAGAGGACGGCGACACAGACGAGGAGTTCCACATCAGTCGAGAGGACAAGGAGCGCAAGGACAAAAAGCGCAACCGTGGCAGCAAACATCTGGGACCTGAAAGTTTGATCAGAGCCACTGAACAAGTCCAACGTAAGCGAAACTTCCTGGGCGGCAAAGGCAGCGCACCCTCAGAGGAAGAGGACAGCAAGCTGATAAGACCGCCACCTCCCCCTCACTGGGCCAAGGGCTCCCCTCACCCCCACAGCCTGCATCCAGCCCAGCAGCACCTCCATGAGCGAGACGTCAGGGGATTGTACCACCCAGGGCAACAGGTATCCACAGGATTGCTGCATATCTTCTGAATTTCCTCTGCATTTCCAAAAACCTGTGAACCAAATTTGTCACTCATCTATTATTTCAACAACAGCTGAATGTTTTAAGGAGAAAAATAATCGTGAATTATTTCTGTTATCTTACCAGCTCCGTCATCCAGCTGGTCCCCCGGGCCCTCATGGTCCACATATGTATGCCCAAAGAATGGCCATGGATCCCCGCTTTGCCTACCCAGTCCACATTCCCAGACATGGAGACCCCAACTTCAACCGCTTGCCTCACAACTTTAACATGCAGGTATATGGCAAAATTTAAATTTAATTTTATCAGTATTTTAGCTACAGTTTTATAAAACAATGTCCTCAGTACATGCGGGTTTGACTCTGTGTTTGTGTTGTTCTACTGACACGTGGCCTGTCATAGACCGGGAACCTTTGTATCTTGATGCTTAGTTCTGGACTGCTGTACAGGTATACTGATCCAAACCACAACCCTTTCTTTATTTGCTCAGCATCGTATGGTTGAGGGACATCACATGGGCCCCAGGTATCCAATGGGCCCAGATCCGAACCAGCAGCAACCTCCGCAGCAGCACCCTTATGCGGGTCCAACTCATGGCCCGTCTTTGGGCCCACGCCCAATGGCCCTCCAGCCTGGACCTCCTCCTGAAGCCAGTATGTACCCATCCCACCATCGTCCAGAGGGCCACACCATGCATCCTATGGGCAACAGATTCTCAGGACCGGAAGGACCACCCCAGCATAATTTCCCAGGCATGAGGCCCCCTGGTATGGGGGGCCTGTCCAACATGTGGACTGGTATGAATCACCAGGGTCAGGAGAGGCACAATGGCATGCGCATGCAGGATCCCAACATGGTGAACCAACGCAACTTTGGTTACGGTGGAATCCCCCCTCCAGTGGGGCATAAACCATGGCCAGAAGCTGCCGGATACCCCCACCATCCTTCCAATGCCCAGTATCAAATGTCCGCAGCAGCCAGCTCCCAGGGGCCAATGGCCTCACGTCCCCCCGTACCCCACCTAGACTCCTCGGGCAGGACACGCTTGGCTTCCATGCTGGAAAGCCCAGAGATGCTGGCCCTGCAGCAGCTGTCAGCCTCTTCTGGACCCCCTGCTGGTCAGCACATAGGCAACTTTAGGCAGCCTGGGCCCCCATCAGGAATTGGCAGCATCCCAGCTCACCCCTCTCAACAGCCTCCCCCTGCCCCTGAGGTTCAGCTGCTGCGTCCTGCCAGAGACAAAGGCCCAGACAGCCAGCCTTCGCAACAGACAGACTTGCACCCCAAAGGTAGACCTGACCTTCTCTTGCACTATTTCACCAGTCGTCTGTATTCTGCATGACAGAACCCAAACGCAGTCTGACCTTTTTCCACATAAATGTTCTTTCTGGATTGTAGTGTCTCGGTTTGTTAGTCAGCACAGCCCCCATGCTAGCCCTTTCTCTCTGTCAAGTGCTTTTTACAATTAGATTTTAATTATCTCTCACAGTAAGTGGCAAATTGAATATTCATCAGTTCAGTTAGATTTCTTGCTGATTTTGTTGAGAATACAAAAGTGATGGCATGTCATCAGTTCAGGTTCACAAGCGAGCATGCAAATGTGTTTGCATCCTTCTTGATCCCTTGTAAAGTAATTGTACCAAACATAGGTCCTTTTTTTAATTCGCTGGTTTTGTATTGTTCGTTTAATTGGTTTGGATAAGTAGCATGAATAACAGAAACTTCATTTGTTTCTTGATCTTGTCCTGACATGTTTATGGTCTGTGAACATTGTGCTTGTAATTATTGGAAAATGATCTTCAAAGCTAACCTCCCTGACAACATTCTTCCATGCTAACATCTATTTCATTTTTCTGTACCAACAGGTGCAGCATCAGAGAGCAAAATGGCTGCCAACAACATTTCTGATGAAGCATCCTCACACAAAAACATTTTTTCAGTTAACCAAGAGCATCCGTCCGTCCCAAGCCCCACAGGACATTACAGTGGGCCAGCAGATAGAATGCAAAGTCCCCCGAACTCGGGAAGGGCGCAGGAGAATCCTTCTGGACCAACACTCACTCAGAGTTCAACAGAGAGCCACAAGCAGGAAGTAGATGGCCAGCGACAATCTGTCAGCCACTGTCCCACTCAGCATAATAGTGCTGCAGCTGTTTCATCCCATCTCAATACAAGTAACACCCCCTCCGCTGATCCTGCTCCACCCAGCACCCCTCAGCATACACCAAACAGTCCACAGCAGAACGCTCCGAGCCCTGTGCTTCCTCCCCAGAATGCACCGCCTTTGCATGCTGCAGCATCTCAGAATGCTCAAAGTGAACACCAGCAGAACATCCAGAAGCATGAGCAACCTCAGGCAAGCGGTACCCCTCCTCAAAGCCTCCGTCAGTACTCTCCCCAGCCAGTGACCCACAACACACAGCAACCCACTTCTCTGCTACCTTCTAATCATGCCCCTCAAAGCATCTCGCCACAATGCCCCACACAGAACAGCCCCATGCATGGAACGCCACAGAGTGCCACTCAAGGAGCTCAGTCTGTACCCCCACAGCCAGCCCCTCTGACCTCTTTGCCACCCAGTCATCCTACCCCACTGTTACCCTCCCAGCCGAGCCCAGCAGACCATGGAGATCAAAGACCTAGTGAGCCCACTACTAGGACGGACACAGAAGGCACTGCCATTTCTCCACAGCACACTGTGATGACATCTGGACAGCCAAATGTTATCTATAAACACCAGGCTTTTAGCCCCAATCACCATCAAACCCAGCTCGTGGGTAATAATCTGGGCATACAGTCTCAAAGAGGGCCACCACATGTTCACAATCCAGCCATGCCCCCTCAAGGCCAGGTCAATGGAGCTATGGGTCCATTTGGCATGGGGAACCCTCCACATCCACACTACAACCAGACAAACATGAGCAGGCCCATGCCTCCATCTGCTCACCACCCATATCACAACCAGGGCATGAACGCCCTCCACAATCCTGCTCCCCATCCGAACTACCACCAGCAGGGAGGGGCTGCCTTCTCCTACCACATGCCAGGCCAACAGCACACTCAAGCTCATGGTAATATGTACCCACCCCATCAGTACCAGCAGCAGACCTACTATCCCCAGCCCCATCCCCAAACACAGGTCCATAACCAGGCCAACAGCAGAGGAGCTTACCCCCCAGAGGAGTGGCATCGGTCTCAGTATCAGCCTCACCAGCCAATGCCACCCAATGCTTACCTACCGATGACCAGCGCCAGAGCCAACGGTCAGTCAAAGGAGAGCAGTGTGTCACCACTGGGCTCTGAAGGCTCCAGTGGGACTGGTTTGGTGTCTCCTGGACCTGGGCTTGATGTAGGGCCACACCCCGGAGGCACAGAAGAAGGGAAGTGTGAAAGCAGGGAGCAGGCAGGTGGAGGCAGCCCAGCCAAACAGGCCCACGGTGAGGGCGCAGAGCGACCTGAGAGCCCTAAAGAAATCCTCGACCTCGACAGTCATAACGCTGCTGCCCGCCGTAGGAGCACCCAGCCGCCTCAGCCACAACACCTACCTGGCTCTGCTGCACACATGGCGCCAGGCTTCATGTATGACCCTCGAGTGTTGCACCCAGGGATGCAAGGCGGCGTCCCTCCACCACATATGATGTCTCAGGGCCGTGCAGTTGGAAACGGACCCCCATACCATGGCCAGGCATACCCAGACCCAGGACGCTATGCCGCCCAAAGACCTCACCCACACCTGATGGAAGCTCTGCAGCGGCCCCAGCAGCTGCCTTACTCTCCGGGCCAGACGCGCATGGCCATGTACAGACACCCCCGGCCTGGAGGACACTTTCAAGGCATGATGATTCAGCAGAGAGGCCTTGCACCAGAACGCTTCTTACACCCAGGGTAAACATGTTCATTCATTCTTTGGTAGCTTGTTCTGCCAGTGAGTGTTTGAGGGTTCTTCATAACGATGATTTGCTTCTTTTCCGCTGCTGTATCAGATTACATTTTTAAACATACATTCTGAAAATAATGACATTGTTTGCAGAGTCACAATGATAACTTTGGCGTCCCTTGTTGAATCTGACAACAGTAACCTCTTTATAAAGTGGGTTACGTGCTAACAGCAGCGTCAACATATTTTCCATTGTGTGTTTACAGGCAACAGATGATGGCTGCTCCAGGCGGCCCTGGAAGTAAACAGGGATTGTGACACACCACATGATCAAAGTAAGAAAAAAGCATCCTGTGTCATGTCACATTATTTGTTAAAACTTTGTCTCACGGCCTCTGGCAGCTTCTCTTCTTCCTTAAATATGTTGTGCCTTCAGTATCTATTCCTAAGAACGTGATAATACTTTCCGAAAGACAATCATGTTTAACTAACTGTTCTTTTCCCCTCCCAGACATCATCTATGAACACCTAGACAAAGCAGTGAGCCAAACACGTACTGCCAGGATAACTAAACAGGGACACTTTGCTCCACATTCATCTCTCACTGATATTCTTACGCTGCACTAAACCTTTGCTCACCAACGGACTTGAAGATCCAACGAGGCAGCTGGTTTTACCAAGATGATTATAATGTGAAATGTTATTGAGCCCCGGAGAACAATTCTCCTGTCGCTATCCCTCCGCCACACGGAGCTCATCGTGGCCATTTGAAGAACAGCTCAGTGTGATTCACTGACTTGCTCAAGGACACTTTAGTTGAGCATTTGTACTTTCATCCCACAGCAGGAGGGAGCCCTTTTTAACCACTAAGTCAACCTGCCAAACACAGGAGACGTTGCCTTCAAGAACACTGGACAGCCCTCTGCTACGTGAACAATCGAAATATGAATGGATTATTGGCCGCTGACCACAGCCTGCTGAGGCCACGATGGAGATACTGACAGGACTGTGATAAAGAAGAGAGGGACTGTTTTTGTTTTGTTTGTTTTTACTATTTTCTATTCCAACCATATCTTTAAACTCAGGTGTAGAAAAGGAGGTACTATGAGACTGTCACCCTAACCCAGTCGACTCACAGGCCCCTTGCAGTTGCCTTGGTTCCCTTTGTGAATGTATGAGTGAATGTGTAGACAATAAATGCAGCGCAACAGTTGCATGTGAGAAGACAAACAACACTGATCATCTGTCTGAACCGTCCAGCCCAGTCACTGTTCATTTCCAGTCCAACTCTAACGTTTCTCGTCCTCTGGAGTAAACACACAGTATATGCATCTTTCAAAGCTGCCTTCATTTGTAAGAATGTCTTTGACTAGCAGAGAGGGATTGGCAAGGATGGTGCTGTTTGTATCCGACTGTACCTGATTCTCTGTTATGCACTATGGGTTTTGTTGGTCTAGACATCCTGGAATTGAGTGGCCTTGGATAGTCTTATTTTAGCCTGTTGACGCATATATCTATTAAAAAAGTATATATATTAATTACAACCTTTCACCGCAGAGACTTACCTCAGACGAGGATAATCGACAATTCTCAGACAGTGGCATGTCCTACTAGCTGGTATATGCACATGCACAGAAGAAACACGTACGTAAAGTCCTCCTGTTGTTTTTTTGAGGGTGACATTTGTTGCATTCGACCCACAAGTTTGTAGCTTTAGTTCTTCGTTCCTTCGTGGCCCTGCCATTTGCATGGTTGTTCCTTTGAGTGCTTCCTCCTTTCCATGTCAATACTAAATGTGTCCTCAGGGTGTACAGTTTCTATATACGGGTATTGTTCTGAACTGTTTGAAGAAGGAGCAGCATAAATGAAATGGGACGGAAACTGTGGCAAAGTAGTCCACCTCATACAGTAGCTAAGTCTTTAAGGGTCTGGATTCATTGTCCTTGTAATAATCGGATCAGCACACCACCAGCATGTTTTTGTTTTGTTTGTTTTTTGTTCAAAAAAATTGATTGGATGTTAGTTGGATCTAATTTGTTCTTGTACATTCCTGTTAATTTGATGTCATACCATTTGCCATCCCAATTAATCGTCATCTTTTAACAACTAGCTTATGTTCTCACGACTGCTGTGGCCTACGGAGGTTTCGTCTTTTTGTCTGTGAGCCCCACTAGCGCAGTTTAGCAATGGCAAAAAAAAAAAAAAAGAATCTACCTCATCTAGCCAGCCTGTGGCGTCTACAAATTTCCACCACTTCTTCTCTTGCTCTGCCAGACTCCTATGGGTCGACATTTTACGACCAGCGGATGATTCGGGGCTTACAGAACCGATGGCCTTACGATGCTTTACCATCTTGGAAAAACAATCTTTTTGTTTCAGATTTCTGTGTCTGAATGTGGCGCACCTCAACAAGACACATCGACTACTGGTGCTGAAATGTACACTGGTTTTTCCTGGGATCGTACTTTCGTTCTCAGTCTTTTGAATATCTTTGAAGTATGTTGCGTTGTATTTCTGACACAGGACTCTTTAAGTTGGTGTCTCAAGTTGTACGGATTGCATACCATCCTGCCTGGAGCTTGTTGAAAGACAAGTGGGCAGTAGTCAAGTCTAGGATCTGTGCTGCGTTCAGTTCGGCAGCATTACACTGTCCTTAGTTATAGGTACTCAAGGCATTGTGATGACATATTTGAGAAAGGAAGCTGGAATAAAGTAGAAGTTGTGAGACAGTTTTGTCACACAAGACTTGTTATGGATGACATGCTATTTTGTTAAAATAGGGAATTATCTCAATATTTAGTGAGCCTCATTGGGCCGCTACGGAGGTAGTGTGTTCATTTGTGCTGTCTCATGTATGAAGGACAGTGCTGTTTTTAAAGGTCCGTGAGGTTGTGATGCTGTCTTATGGTGTACAGGTGTGTATGTATACGTTTGCTTGTGTGTGTATGTGTACGCATGTGTGTTTCTGGTGTGTAGAGTCGGCGCCAGACGTTTGGAAGTGTGCAGTCAACTCTCACTTTTACTCTGCTGTCACCTCTGCACTAGTGAAAACCATTTAGGCGTGATTAAATGTGAATCATATTTATTTGCTCTTCTAAGAATTTTTGTACATTTTTGGACTTGTTTTAATATAAATGTGGTGTTTGTTTCTTTTCCTCTTGATGTTGTTTTTTGATGTTTAAGCAGTTGTCTTTTACCTCAGTAGCATGGTGGCATTGGGAAAAAAAAAAAAAAAAGACCTGTCCCTTTCATTTTTAAGTGACGTTTACAAGTTCTTATCTGACTGACTGACATAGATTATTTTGGAAATGGAATGGAATATTTTCTATACTGTACATTTCTTAGAAATAAATAACTTTTCTCAAACAAGAGTTTGTCTTATCGTTGTAGTAATTCACATGTTGTGGAAAATGTAGCATCATTTCGTTACTGTAACAGCAAACAAATGGATTTTTACTTCTTGTAAGAGTCACTGCTGAGAATTAACAAAAAATAAAAGTTCATAACATATATATCTCAAATCCATTAAAGAAGCTGAAAGGCCAGAAGTAATGAAATGTAAACAGACCAAACAAGAGGACCAATGCAAGACAATACAGTAATCTATCGGAGCGCTTCACGCCATCACTTTCAATTAGTGCTCATCCTGTTGACGAGCCCTCCACAGACTGAACGCTGCTTCGTCTGACCCGTCTCCTGTCTGCACGAGTCAGCGATGTGACGTCAGTGGAACAGGAGGCAGCACAACTCCTTTTTCAGGCTTTCTTCAGCGGGCCTCCTTGTAAGCTAACAAGTAATATATTCTTTTGTTCAGGCCTAATGAGGACAAAATTGGCAGTAGAGAAAATGCAGATGAGGTATGTGCTATAATTAAGGAACTTTAATTGAGCCTAATTAAGCTAGTTGTTGTGTAACTAAATTTTAAGATACAGACAACAAGACAGGGCATTAGAGTAAACATTTTAATGGTAAAAACCTTGTAGTAAAACCTGTTGAAGTACTTTGAGGCATCCTCTTTGTCTGTGACTCTCTTAAAGCTGTGGGGGAAATGTTTTTTTGTTTTTTTTAAAAAAGAAAAAAGTCCAAAACTTCTCTCTCTGTCTGACCAAGTTTCAAATGTTTGTATTTCTTTGACAGATGAATGTTTAACTATTATACACACAGTTGTTCCTTTCATTGTATAAACTTTAATTTTATTTGTTAATAAGTAAACTAAATAAAAACACACAGTGTAATCTGGTTGATGCTATGTTTTCTCTGTCTTGTTTGATTTTTAAATAGTGCTGTCACCTGCCTGTGCCTGTAAACGTTCAGCCGTGAAGGAAAGTCATCCCAAAACCACAACAAACCAAAGGAAGAATCCCTTATCAAATTCTTGCAGGCTAATATTTACACCACCACCAACCAATAAGATGTGAGCATGATAAAGCGTTGGCCAATCACAGTGAAGGGGGCGGGCTTAAGCGTCCTGTGAACATATAGGCGCCTGAGAGGCTGCGCGCTGGGAACACGCACCCAGAGATTCAAACAGGCAAACTGAACTGTAACCGACTGTAGCTCGTGCAGCGCTGTGTGAGCGTTTACTTGTTTATTGTCGCGACACCGCCGTAATAAAGTACACTATTCAACAAAACCTCAGGCGAATTTGCTGCTGTCAGCGTCGAGCAACTTTCCCCGGTATCCGTCTTGTGAGTGACACTCAGCGGGGACCGTTTACCGTCGCGAGCTGTCGAGGCTAAGCTAGGTTTGTGCACGAGCCCTCTGTTATGATATTTTACATCTATGCTACGAATAAAATAACTAATGTCGGTTTTTGTGTTGTTGTTTTTTAGCCTACGAAAGCCAAATCTGTCAGAATACTTCTCAAAGTACTTGCTGTTAAATCTCCGGTATTGTTTAGTATTGATGCCAGGCTGGCTGTAAACACGGAGCATCACAGCTGTGCAACAAACCTCTGCGCACTTTGTCTTTGTTCCGCACATGTTGGAGGTTGAAGCTTTATTTTTACTGACTTTCAGTTCTGCAAACAAGCTGCTCTGCCTTCACCGCTGTTTTCTCTCATAACCAGCTCAACTGTAAGCTCCACAGCCACCCCGGACGATGGCGGTCCCTCTACAGCGCCCCCACGTGGTCTGTGTGCTGCTGTGCTGCTTGACCACTGGCCTGTCCATCCCGGACCCCAGGCAGAGGGAGGCCCTCATAAAGCAGGAGGCCTCCATGCAGACGGGCGGGCAGGTGGTGCTGACGGACGCTGAGCAGCGGCTGGACGACCTCCTGGTTAAAATGAAGCAGGAGGAGATGGCAAAGGCGGACTTTCCTCCGTCCATGCACTTCTTCAAGGCCAGGGACCTCATCAGGAGCAGTCCCATCTTCAGTCTGCTGCAAAAGATGCCTAAAGGTACACAGCCACTGACACAGCATCCATCCATCCATCATCTCTACACCTAAATCCTCACTAGGGTCGTGGGGGGCTGGAGTCTATCCCAGCTGACTCAGACAACCAAGCACACTCACATTCACACCTACGGACAATTTACAATCACCAATTAACCTCAGCATGTTTCTGGACTGTGGGAGGAAGCCGGAGAACCCGGAGAGAACCCACGCTGCACGGGGAGAACATGGAGACTCCACGCAGAAAGATCCCGGGTGTCCTCACCGGGACGCGAACCGGTGACCTTCTTGCTGCTCTTTACCACCGAGCCACGTTGCAGCCCTCTGACACAGCACATGTCTGTTATAATAACATCATACCTCAAAGTCTGTGTGTAGTAGGTGGCCTGTTGAAGGACTCACAGAAGACAATGCATCGTTATAAAGTTATAGCAGTTATGATGAAGCTTCTTACTTTGTTAATGTGTCCTCATAGTGTTTGGTAATGTGTGTATAGTACCAAAAGTCATAGAGTCCTTTATGCATTACAATGTCAAATTAGAAAATAAATTCATCATATAGATAAGATTAGAAACATGCAAGATAAACAAAATAAAATAGCTAAGTCATGGTGACGTTTTTATGGGCATCAACATTTTACAGCGATTTCCCTGAGGTACCCAACCAAAGGGATCAATAAAGTTCTGTCTAATCTAATCTAATATAAAGAACCTGCCGGTGAAAAGCTTTATGGATGGCATTATGAACTAAGAAAGCTAAACACTGCAACACCGGCCCTGTGGTGTAACTCAAGGTTTGATTGTACCTGAGTGATTTACATATTAGGGATTAAACCCTATAAAATGATGCTTGACTGTGATAATGTGAGACCATACAGAGCTCTTATTTATGGACTTAACAAATGTAATAACAAAGCCAGACACTGTGGTGTTATAAGTTACCAAACTTAACATTACTAGTATAAATATCACGGCTAAAACCCAACAGTTTGGTTCATGTTGGAGATAAACCTGACTGTGTTTTATCTGTTATTTAATATATTTTATGAGTGACAGTGGAGGGGAAGTTAGCAGTCTCATGACAGTCTCAGAAACACTGACACAGACTTTCATATGTGACAGACTTAAGGAACCAGTCCCACCAACTGCTGAACTGGGGCTTTCCGTTCAGAATCGGTTTCCAGTTCAAACACCATTGAGCCGAGTTGTAGGTGAGCTGGTGTGCTGAGCTGCAGCCAGCGTGGAGGGGTGCTTGTAGAGCGAGAAAGGGACTCCATAGATCCACTTGATGTAAAGGAAGCAGCGGTGTAGTTATACATCTAAGACATTTAATGGCACTGAGGAATACACAGATATGAGTTTATAGTGGATTAATCAATGACTAGGAAGGGACTTTAATACAATAACCTGCTCATAAATTGCTCTCTGATAACAAATAGCTCTGTGAACGTTGTAAATAATCACTTCTCAGTGTCAGCAGTGAATCTGACATCTTTTAAAATTCAATCTGAAACCCTTTCTTTTTAACAAAGGACGGTGAATGAACTGTTCAGTACATTTGATCTTATTTAGAGCTGCAGCAAATCATGAGTTCATCAATAAACTGACAGATAAATATTTGGCAGCTGTTTTTATAATTTAATAATTACTAGTTAAACCTTGTATCTCGTTGTATCTCTAAGTGTCTTTGTGTCGTGTACGATGGCACCTTGGACTCTGGCATGAATATTTTTTTCTCTATTGCTTGAAATTTAATGGGCATTAAATCATCAGTTGTTGGAGACAGTTGTCGGCAAATTAGTTGTTAGTTGCATCTTTATTGTTGTCACAAGGTTGTGGATGTTTCCTGCTGGTGTAATGATAAACTGCCAACATGTAGTGCTCCAGAAGATGCTGGGAGATCACACAGTCGGTGTATCTCCAGTCAGTGAGTTTTTCTAAACGTTTACTCTTTCTACTTCTGTGACTCCCTGTTTCAGGCGGCGCTCTCCACCTTCACGACTTGGCCATAGTCGACGTCGAGTGGCTGGTGAAGAACGTGACGTACCGGCCGCACTGCTACATGTGCCTGACCGACGACCGCTCCATCAGATTCGTCTTCTCGTCTCAGCAGCCCAAACCTCTGCTGCACTGCTCTACCTGGATGCTGCTGGAAGACCTCAGAGCCAAGATGGCCAACGTCACAGACCTGGACAACAGGTGACTTCTTTACCTTTGCTGCATCCATCCATCATCCCTACACCTTAATCTTCACTAGGATCACTGGAGTCTATCCCAGCTGACTCAGGGTGAAGGCAGGTTCACCTGGACAGGTAACCAGTCTATCTCAGGGCTACACTTAGAGACAGACAACCAAGCACACTCACATTCACACCTACGGACAATTTACAATCACCAATTAACCTCAGCATGTTTCTGGACTGTGGGAGGAAGCCGGAGAACCCGGAGAGAACCCACGCTGCACGGGGAGAACATGGAGACTCCACGCAGGAAGATCCTGGGTGTCCTCACCGGGACGCCAACCAGCGACCTTCTAGCTGTGAGGCAACGGTGCTAGCCACTGCTCCACCTTACCTTTGCTGCAGTACAATGACTTTATTAAGATAATGTTGGAGAAAAGAAAACAAACCACACAAACACCGTTAAATTTTTTATTTTTTTTTGCAATCACTTCTTCTCTTTATTCTTCTTTGGAAACTCCGTATGGAAAATTTAGTCTGCATTTGTGCATTACGTTGTGTTGCAGTTACAGGCTATTTTATTGTATTATGAACTGTTCTCCCAGACTTATCATTAATAAATAGTTCAATAGTTATCAGGGCTCTCCACTCTGAAGTAATCAGCTCCAAAGCATCATATTATTTAGGCTTTAAATCAGCGTATTATCGCTCTCTGCTGCTGCTGTCAGTAACTTCAAACCCACAGGATGAAAGGGGAAGTCTCTTTTGGGGAAACGATCCCTTAAATACATGACTCCTTGCACAGTTGGTCATTGTATTGATCTGCATTTAGACCATCTTTGTTTGTCAGGATGACGGTTACATTTAACACGTGACAGTTTGTACACACAGGTCCCATAAAGCTGTACATAATGGCTTTAAGCACTGACAGGCTGTTAATTATGAAGAGAAGTGACACGTCATCAGACAGTAGTGGTTTTCCAGATGGAGCCTTTTACACAGATATTTCAGGAAACATCTGCTATACGGTGTCCATCGCAGCCTCGTTGAAATGTTAATGAGATAGTGTTGACGCGATCTTCTGTGTTTTCATGCTTTCTCTCAGCATCAGGGGCAACCTGACGCTCTTCACTGACCAAGATCCGGAGGTGGCGTACCCCAGTCAGGACGTGGTGTGGAAAATATTTGAGCAGAAGTTCCAGGCGCTGTGGGGTCTGGTCACATACGTTCCTGTGTTCAAAGACTATTTCTACCAAGGCCTCAGCGAGTTCTACGTGGACAATGTCATGTATCTGGAGCTGCGGGTTCTGCTTCCAGAGGTACGATCATGTCTTCGTTTAGCTGTATGGCTTCACGTCGCCCCTCCTCTGTCTCATGTGCATTCATGTTGATTTATTATCATTGATGTCTTCTCTGCTACTCAGCTGTACGAGTTGGACGGCTGCTCTTATGACAAAGCCTACACTCTGAAGACCTACCAGGATGTCACCAAGCAGTTCAGAGCAAACCACCCGGACTTCTTTGGAATGAAGGTCATCTTCACGGTCCACAGGTGACTGTTCCGAATGCCTTTAAAATGGATTTTACCGTTCAGGCTTCATGCTCCCTGTTAAAACAGCCATTGATCACACGCTGTGCTCTGTTCTTCAGGCAAGTAAACGCATCAGTGATGACTGGAGTTGTTGAGGAGGCCATGAAGCTGCAGAAGGACTTCCCAGACTTCATGGCTGGTTTTGACCTGGTAAGAGGCATTTTTTCTGACTCGTGTTAAGCCACAGTGGGAATCGTTTTTCCTCATTTCACCTTCAGTACAGGTTTCACTAAAGGTGGTTGTTATGAAATCATGGCTTCTGTATTTGTTGACATGCTGACTTTCTCTGCCCAGGTGGGTCGGGAGGATAGCGGCAAACCCCTGTGGTATTTCAGAGATGCCTTGTCGCTGCCTGCAGACAGAGGCGTCCCGATGCCGTTCTTTTTTCATGCTGGAGAGACGAGTGAGTTCATCAGAGCTGGATGTGGAATAACCTCACAGACATCATCACAATTCATCCTGATCCTCTCGTCACAAACACAAGTTGTTTTTTATGCATAGTTGCTGCATCTTTACAGCTAAATGTTTTTTTTTTATGCTCAAAATTGACAAAAACATCTTGGAGAAGAACAAACTCCACGTTAACGTTTGAAAGCTTTATTTATCGCACTCTGAGGAGAAATGTAGTGTTTGAGGATTATGATGGGAAGTGACAGCCATGAATTAAAAACATGAATGACAATAAACATTAAGTTATATTCGCGTTACATCAGTCAGAGAATTCACAGCATATCCACATCATATTCTAAACTCCAAATTGCTCCAACACTGAAGAAAATGCATTTTTACCGATACTTGAATTCAGGCAGAGACTATCATTCACGTTGTCTGCCTCTACCGTACGCAGATCTCCAGGGCACAGAGGTCGATGAGAACTTGTTGGATGCTCTACTTTTGAACACGTCCCGTATAGGACATGGATTTGCACTACCTCGCCATCCGCTGGCCAAAGACATGTCCAGGAGGAGAGGGGTCGCTCTGGAGGTGTGCCCCATCTCCAACCAGGTACACTGTCATCGTGTCGTGTTTGTTTTCCAGCTGCTACTGTGTGTGACACCACAAGGTTAGTTTAGCATCTTGTCAGCAGATATCTCCTTTCCTACGTCCTCATCCAGGTGATGAATATGGTGAAAGATTTACGAAATCATCCGGCAGCTGCACTGATGTCAGAGGATCACCCGATGGTCATCAGCTCCGATGATCCCGGCATCTTTGGTGCCTCTGGCCTCTCTTATGACTTCTACATAGCTTTTGTGGGTTTTGGAGGCATTAGATCCCATGTGGGCTCTCTTAAACAGCTGGCCATAAACTCTATCAGGTGAGGCTCGGCTGAGATGTGACTTACAAATTAGATTTGAAGAGTGTCAAAGATCTTCATGAGACTACTCTCACGTTTCACCGTCTTGTCTTTCAGGTACAGCGCTTTGAGTCAGAAGCAGCAGGAGGAAGCCCTGGCTCTGTGGCAGACAAAGTGGAATAAGTTTGTCTCTGAAAACGCCTTTTAGAGAGAGACTGGCATTTTCAAACGTTAAAAATGCTGCGATTGTAGGGCAGTCTTCGTGCTTTGCTTTTGTGAAAGGAAAGGCTCGTCGCAGGTGAATTATAAATTGAAATGTGAAAAATAAATACTTGTTGCGCAGCTGCTGGGAAACACGCATATAGGACAACAGGATGAGCTGTTAGATGTCCTGCACATATGAGAGGCTTACTGTGTCTAGTTTAATTTAAAACTTTTAAGAACTTGCACTTTATGATTTAGATTAGCCTGTGTTGTCTGTGCCTTGGGAGACGCCAACAGTGCCGTGCTGTGGCTGATGTGCGAAATGTGATGAGTGTTCAAAAGGGCTGTCAAATCCTGTGTGCTTTAAAATGCTGTTATGGGGAGATTTTTACGTAGTTTTATAGGACTTTTACTTGGATGTAACTTAGATTTTTAGCTGTCGTGGGTTTTTAAAAACAAAAAAAAGTAACGCATCTGCCTTATGTCGTTGTTCTGAAGCAGTGATCACGATTCTCTGAGCTCATGCAGAAATATTTAAATGTGAACTGTGCAAGCTAAATATGACACAATTAAAAACAACTGTTGACGTACAGTGCGTTTATTTACTGCTCCGTCATCTGCTGCAGGTGTTGAACTGGGAGAAGAAGCTGTCGTCGATACGTCCTCTGTCGATGTCCGGCTTCCTTAAAACGACATGAAAAGAGTGAGACAGTTAGCGGTGTGTAGAGTTTAACAAGACGGCGTGTTGTCTAAATGTCACTGACTGTCGTCTGTGTGCTTCGGCCAGCTGGACGTTGGCGTTGTCCAGGTGTCTCCTCAGCTGCTTGTCCAGTCTGGCCTGCTGCCTCTCTAGTAGCAGAGCTGCACGAGCCGAGTCCAGGCGGACGCGATCGTAGCGCTCCTCCTCTCGCTTCTTGTTTAATTCAGTCCTCTGCAGACGCACAGAAAACAGTCGGATGAGCAGCTTTATGTGGGCGGATTTTTACAGGATTGAAAAGCAGTGTGCATAAGTTATTTTACCCTCTTCTCTTCTATTTGGTGCTTCTGGAACTGGTTTATCTGCTGCAGGCTCTCAGGAGGGGCTCTCCTGTCGCTGCTGGGACACAGGCCGGGGACTCCCACCACGCTCGGGGTGCATTCAGCGTCTGCTTCTGTCAGTTGTCGTTGCAGGTTGTTCTTCTCTTTAATCTACATCCATGCAGACCCAGTAAAACACACAAAGGTGATTTAAACTGCACTCTGCAGCTCAGTTCAAGTCCATTGATATCGAAATGTCTACGACTTTTTAATTAAATATATGAAAGTGTCAATGGTGCAGAGGTTCAACTTGACACGTGGCACAAAAATGAAAACAAGTGCATTATAGCTGCCGTTAGCTTTTATTATAACCCAGCACACACCAGTGTTTAAAGCTAATGGGGAGCTTTTTCCTTTGCAGTTCTCCTTAATGGCATTCAAGACAGATGCACTTTGAAGCTTTTACTCCTTTAACTCCTGATGATCTCTACATTCCACATTAACCCCTTTCTGTCTGAGCTGGTACCACAGTGACCCACCTTGGCCAGGTTGTAATCTTTGTTGGCGATGGCGGCTGCCTCTCTCCTCTCCTTCTCTTGATTCTGAAGCTGCACGGCCACGTTGTCCGTCTCCACTCTGTTTCGCTCATAGCGCTGCTCTAAACTCCAGCGGAGAAGATGAAGTGAGGTCATGGTTCATTTGTGCCGACTGTGTTCTGTGTGGTTCCAAACGTACCTTCCAGCTTCTGTTGATTTCGTTTTGCCGCCTGCTCCGCCTGCTGCTGAACGAGCCAACCTCTCAGCTGCTCCCTCTGCCTCTGCAGCCTGCTTTTGCTCTCCGGGTCTTCGCCCACCAGTCCGGGGAGAATCATCTGTGCGTCTCCTTGATCTGTTTTTCTGCAGAGGTCTGGGTCGTTCAGATCAAACTCTCGTTGGCTCCGAGGCTGCTGGTTCTGGCGCCTGAAGGTGACGACGGCCTTTTCCAAAGCACGCTTCTCCTTCACTTGTTGATTTTGGAGGATGTTGGCTGCTTTTCTGCTGTGGAGCATTTCAGCGTCTGTATGGAGAACATCATTGCACACACCGACATCACAATGCACCACACGCAGTGTCAGTAACGCAGGTTCAGAAATGAAGACGTCATCCTTCTGTGGTTCGACACTGAGTTCATACAGTGACGTTTTCCAAGTCACCTGTTTTGCTGTTGTTCAGCGATAAACTGTCCTGTTTAGGTAACTCACCATAAGCATCTTGTTCTTTCTTTGCTGCTGCTTCTTGTTTCTTCTTCTCTGTCACCTGCAGGTCTAGAGCTTCCTTATCAACCTAGAAGAGACATTTTGGGCCAATTTATTTTTGTTCACTCCTTCAGACCGGCGGAAAGAAAACATCCAACATGTGTTTATTTTACTACATTTTGTCTGTTGGACATGAATGCACATTAGCACATCTTTTAATTAGATAATGCTTCTAACTGTGTCTAGTAATCAATGTGGGACATTTCTTGCCGATATCTGCTAGTTAAGCTTTTTACCTGTAAAAAGTAAGTTTCCAATGAAAGTTTTTGTCATTTTACGACACGTATCTTAAAGACATTTTCTCCATTTTCTCCTTCTCTGACCCAGAGATCGTGGCTTCAGCAGCACTTACATGCACAAATCTTCTAGTTTTATAATATCCACACACACATATAGATATATTCTGAAGGTATTGAAACAGAAGTTTGTTCATATATCACTCATATAGAACATTTTATTCCTAAAAACACTGCACAGTGGATTTTCTCTGGCTGTTGACAGTATTTAAAGAGTGATAATAAAGAAAATCCCCTCTAGATTTTTAATGCAGCTTCATCCAGTGTTCAGATTTCTCCTCTGAAGTCATGCAAATTAGTCCATATTTATATAGATAATTGTTATAGTTCCCCTCCTGACCACTAGATACAGCCAGTCTTTCTTCTGTCATAGTGGCTTTGCTGATCTCTAAGTAATATTGAAATAGTTTTACTGGGCTTATTTTTTTTTATTGTTGTTTTCTGTAAATATACAAATACAAAGGCTTTAAAAAAAAATAAAATTCTACATGACATAGAGAGTCATGTGGGGGAACTATATTAGTTTGGAAAACAAAAACTTTTGCTGTAATATGATAAATTATCACAGCTTGACTTTTAAGGGGAAAACTACAGAAAGCTTGTAAAACCAAAAGTAAATGTCACGTTGTCATTAATCAACCTGTGAAGTTTCATGGTGACGTGTGTTAGGTAGAAATGAAACACACACACACACACACACACACACACACACTCTCTCTTACCCCCATCGTCCTGACGGTGTCGTTAAAAATCCTCTCTCTTCTTTCGCTCTCTTTGTGTCGACGCCTCTCCAGAGTCGTTCTGGCGAGTCGGTCTGAAACTAATTCAACGTTAAACATTTTGAAAGTATGAAGAGATTCTTCTGTCCTAAAAACGGACCGTCCGAACACGAACCGCACCAGAAACACGACAATCTCACATTTCCAAACATATTCGTTGCTAAGAAACCAGAGTACTCGTGAGCCTTCGTAAAATGTCGGCTGTTTCCGGGAACTTCGAGCAAACGTCCCGGATTGGCTCATTTTCGAGGCTCGTAGCCAATGAGAACTAAATAGTTAAATACCAATACTGTAATGTGAAAACTACACCATGTCTGACAAATGCAACGTAAGTTAAAAAAAAAAAAAAAAGCACATTTATTAGCAGGAAAATGTTAAATGATCAAAGATCAAGTCCTAGTTCAGTCCCTCTGAATGATGATAACATCAAGATTATTAATAGTGAATCATGAACGTGTTGGCAGCTTGGTGCTGCTGTATCTTCTGCAGGTGGAGTCAGTTTAAACTATGTCATGTTCAGCAGATGAATCTGAGGAGTCATGACGTGGTTAACATGAGAGGACAGAAGTAAAAACAAAAATCTGACAGTTTTTGAACTTTTTCTTTGATTTACGGTGAGATAATCCATCATTTGAACATTTCTTGAAATCAAACCATGTTAGTTCCATCATTATTTGGTGGAACTGTTCATTTTTAACATTTTCATTGTCGCTAAAAAAACAAAAAAGCATTCAACTATACTGGCCAGAGAATCAGCAGCATGACTCGTGCTCTCTGACGAAGACCTCAGACCAGTTTGGTTATGGAAACGCTTCAGCATGTTGCCCGTTCTCATCAGACACTCTGGTGTTTGTTATAAGAGCAGCTGGCTGATGACACCACATGCTCACACATGGCTTTTTGCATCACTACCACACTCCAGTAAACAAAATTAAACACGTTCTGTCCATTCTTCTGCAAATGAAACACTTGATTTGTCACCTTTCTTTTGCATGGTTATGGGTGAAACAGGTTTTATTTACTAGAGAGGCTGTTCTGGCTGCAGTCAAAGCTAAAGAAAGGCCTTAAAAATGAATGACTCTGTAACTCAAAAAGCCTCACGTTAGACTGCAGCAGAGTTCAAACTTTACTGGAAGCACATCAAACAACCACTTCAACAATAAACTTTATTTCCAGATAAACAAAAACAGAATATAAAGTATTTTGACATCCACCATAAACCTTTTAAATACAAAACACTTGCAGTCAATCCGTATGATCTGTAGATCCATGAATAAAGGAATAAATATGGCCGACCTGAGAACACATGGAGACAAAAAACAAAAAAGAGAAACACCAAGAACCTCTGATTCATACTCAGCCAGACAATAAATAACACACACCACACCTCAGTCAACTGCACAGCAATGACTTATCGCTTATTAGCTGACTTGATGTCAGTTTTATTCACACAGAGAAGATTATTATTAATTTAATAGGCAGGGCGTGTCGCCACACGAGTCCTTTCCACAACCTGACCCTTACAGAAGTTCTCAAAAGTAAACCTGAAAACATTTATTTAAACAGTATTGTTAAAAACCTAACCCTATTTGAACCATAAATAACAAGTACCATACAACAGATTTACACCCGAGTCTTCCTAATGAACTAGTTTCACTTCTAAATAGTTAAATTTGACCTGAGGCATGAATGCTGGTCTTATCTTAATCCACTCATTTTATACCTTCATTGTACTTATTTTACTTCATTTACTTCTCACATATCAGACAATAATGCAGGTAGAACCAGTGATAAAAATTACAGTTTTTTTAAACATTATATTCACCCAACTGCGCCAAAGGTAGTGCATAAAATCTGTACGAGAGCAGCATTTGTAATAGGTGGTGACATTAAACAGCTCATCGTTTTATATCTACTGCAGCCACGGCTAAAACTCAGTGCAGCTAAAACTGTGAAACAAGTTAAAGCTTGCACTCTTTCACAACGTCCCAGCTCTTAATATAAAGGAAAACACAAACATGGATTAGTGGTAATGTGTGCCGAGACAGACATTAATAGTCTGGTTAGACTGAAGAGGAGGAAAGAGGATTAACTTTGCTTTTTTCTAAATAGCATGATGGTATGTTTGTGCTAATTAGGCAACCAGCCGGTGTTTCACAACTGTGTGGCTTCATTTCAAAACAGCAATCTGAAAGGTAAAAAAATCCTGGTGAGCTGAACATTTTATATTTCTCACAATCATCTGGTACAAAAAGCACCTTTAACAGCATTTGAAGTTTCAGCAGGATTCATCTCTGAACATTAACAAATGGTGGAAAACAATCACTTGCACTCGTAAGATTTACAAAACCCACCACTAGTTTCTTCCCACCCCATCCTGAAAAGTGCATGTTTAAATTATTACAGGAGTCACGATGGTTTCTTTGACGTTTTACTCATTCCAGTGTTATTATCTACTGACCTATCAGCACTTCTTGTGGATCACACACATACTTCAAAAGGCCTTGATTATGTTCTGGATTTCCCATCGTTGGCCAGAGCATTCCTGTATGACAAGTTTACGGTCTTTGATTTCCAGGCACTTTTTCGTCTGTCTGTTCCTCATTTCTTTGCCCTAGAAAACAGAATCAAAGCAAGAACACGGTCAGAATTCACAGCTTTTAAAACCTCCTTTTTGTTTTTCGTATTCGTTTTGTACCACCGTTTGTGACTTTTATATATTAACTGTCATCATAAACTGTTTATAAAAGATGGATGTAGCCGAAGAAGTGGAGCAAACACATTTCAACCTGCATTTCTTTTAAAGGCCAGCAGGGTGACTCCTGTTCTTCCTGTTACATGGAAGTCGGTGAGAAAGCGGCACTACTTCTAACTTGTTACCTCAGTAAATGTTTTCCTTAAACTATTGCGGTCTAAATTGCTCAATTCAAGATTTTTTGAATACAACATGATGCTTGTTTTATAAATGACAGTCCCACCTAGAATTAAACAGAAAATAAAACAGGGTAAAGTTTCAGGGCAGGACTTTGTTGTGATTGTTAGAGTAGATCTTTTATACACAGTCTAGGGTCTTATTACTGGTTTATCTTGTCTTGCCTGAGTGAAGTCCCAGTATATCCCCATTCCTTTCTGCATAGCCTCTTTGCAGTTGTACAGGCCAGGCTCGCTTTCTTTCTGGCCGACGTCAGTCAAGCATCGGTTGTCGTTGTACTTGTGGGACTTGATGCCGCCGATGTAGAGCTCGCCGGTTCCTCGCAAATACGTGTACTTTAAAAAAAATAAATAAAAGAGACGAGTCAGAAAGCAGAATTGGCAGTTAAATGATGCAACTACAAGACTTCTGATAACAGACCATGATACCTGACAACCCCATAGCTGCTTCACTTACTTGAGGTCCGTAGTAGTAGCAGTTGTAGGCGATAGGTGTGTGTCCTGGTACTGGACCCTGGTCTATGCACATGTCAGCATCAAGATTCTTCAGCTGCCGGTAGAGGAACAAACATTATGACGACTCACTGCGATGCTCCTACTACCATACTCACTGAGCAGTATGTGAAAGTAAACGTACTCCTCCGTATCCAAGTAGGTTATCCCAGGAATCCAGCTTAGGATAGATGTTTTCCAGGTACCACTTGAAAGGTTTACAGTTTAACCTTTCTCTGAGTTTCTTCCTCTCCGTGACGTCTCCGATGTCAATTCCATGATTCTGCAGAGGGGGGAAGAAAAAAAAGAAAAGAGTATGACCAGGTTTATAGACACACACACACACACTTTATATTCAACATCAGGATCAGACGGGTTCTGTGTCTCAGAGATCAACGCGTTCTGGTTGAAATGTGCGCATCAACTCCAGAACAAAAGCTAAAGACCTTGTGAAGATGCTGCTGAAGCTGGAAAGAGAGAGTCATTATCCACAGTGGAACCAGTCCTGTACCGACATGGGCTGGAAGGCTGCTCAGAGAGGAAGAAGACATCACTCCAGAAGAAACATAAGAAAGACAGAATACAGTTTGTAGATGCACACAGGGACAAAGAGCTTCATCAGTGGAGACATGTCCTGTGGTCTGATGGAACTAAACCTGAACTGTTTGGCCTTAATGACCATCGGTACATCTGGAGGAAAAAGGAGGAAGCTTGAAGCCTGAGAACACCATCCCAGCTGTGGAGCACGGGGGTGGCAGCATCATGCTGTGGGGCTGTTTTCATGGAGGAGGGACTGGTGCACTTCACAGAATAGATGGCATCATGAGGGAGGACAATTATGTGGAGATATTGAAGCAACATCTCCAGACATCAGCAGGAAGTTACAGCTTGGACACTAATGGGTCTTCAGATGGACGATGACCCTCAGCATAGCGCCAGATTAGCTACAGAGAGGCTTCAGGACAACAGAGTCAGTGTTGTGGAGTGGCCATCACAAAGCCCTGATCTCCATCCTGGAGAACATCAGTGGAGCAAGGAGACCAACAAACCTGACTCAGTTCCTCCAGTTCTGTCAGGAGGAATGGGCCAGAACTCATCAGACTGTTGTGAGAAGCTTGTGGAAGGAAACCCAGAACGTTTGACCCAAGTCATAGAGTTTAAAGGCAACACTACCAGATACTGAGGAGACGGATGGAAACTTCTGACTCTTCAGACAGTGAGTAAAAAAAAGGTTGTGTGTCTTTTTACACAGCGTACGTAAACTTGTGGTTTAACCCGGATATGAGCAATAAGTCTAAATGAGTTAATAAATGTCTGATATCAGCAAAATTTCAATATTATGCATTCCTACATTGGAACATCCATCCTGCCTCCTGGGTGTAGAAGCATGGAGTCTCTCTCAGAGAGGCCATCACTTTGCCCACTGCTTGATCCCAATCTGACGTACCTCAAATGGCAAGTTCCAAGCCAAGTTGACGTTGTGCTTGTATTCGTCCATCCAGACTTCTGCCACCCTCAGGGCATTTCTCTTCATGGCAGGACCCAGGTCTGGCATGTAGGGCTTGTGGGCTCTCTCAATGTGGGCGATCTTGGAGCATGGAACTACTTCAATACTGCCTCCACATGTCCACACCTACATGAGCAAAAACGGACACCTTACTAGTCACTGATCCATCTCCACTGAAGACAAGTGTAAAGCATGAGCAGGTAGATTTAACCACCTTTGGGAAAACCGTTTCCCTCCGTTTAGTTTCTATCCTGAGTAGTGGAAACAAACCATATAGACAAGTTTGGCATCTATTAATCATAATAAGCTTATTTCTCAAAATGTCAATTCTAGCTCAAGCAGCTAATGCTAACAGAGCAAAATTCAAGTCACTGCAAGCTCTGGTTGTGAACCTTGGTTTGACATCCACCCTTAGAAAAGCAAAATCTTTGCAGCACATCTGCATTCAGACAACTTCCCAGAAAATGATGCCACAAGTTTGCTGGTCTTGTGCCAAAGTTCCTGCAGCATTCTGGCAATAATGAGAAGTTTTCCACTACTGGCAAACATGTTCACTTGTGGTCATCAGTTGGTCAGGATTGCTAAACTTTTAGTACGTTTCTGGAAACAAGTTTGTCATGAGTTGCAAACGTGCTGGTTTAAGTTTCCCAGGAGACAGTTCTGCTTCGGCAATGTTGCCACAAATTTGAAGAAAGGTCATATTTTCATAAGCAAATTAGATCTGTGGTGAACTTTTTCCTGATATTTTATGTAGTTTTTAATAGTATATCAATATAAATGTTCTTAGTTTTCACCGGCACCTTGCTCGGAGGTTGTTTTGGGTTTTAATTTACTGGTTTTCCAAAGACATGCACGGTAGCTTATTGTAAATTGGTCACTGGAGCAAATTCATCCCACATCCACCCAACCGGTGGAGGCAGATGGCCGTCCCTCCCTGAGCCTGGTTCTGTCGGAGGTTTTTTCCCCCCGCGGGGGCTTTTGGTTCCTTCCCACTGTTGCAGACTGCTGAAGCTTATAGGGAATCCAGATGTTTTGGATTGTTGGGTGTTTCTGCCTTTGCTAAGCACTATGAGATGACCTGTTGTTGTAAATATGCGTTATACAAATAAAATTGAATTGAATTGAATGTGAGCATAAATCATGAATCTGAACAATCCAGGAGGCTCCATTTTGCACAATGCAAAGGTTTTAAGGCTTATCAGACAGCTCACACTGCACAGTGGCTGATAATGAGACAGGATCTTACAGCTCTGGAGAGTTATTACCAGCAGCAGTCACTGTATCCCTCTTTCTCAACAGCTGGAGTGTAAACAGCTTGGCGTAAGCGACGGGATAGTTCTGTTGAAACCAGGATCTTTACTCTTCCGTGCTCTAACTTGGCCTGACACGGCCATCGGGTGGAGGCTCCGAGGTTTACTCACGCGAATTCCCAGCTCAACGTTTTCTCCACCGTACACTTTCATTCCATCGTCCAGAGCTCCGATTTCTCCCAGAAACTTCCTGTCAGCAACTAGGATTCCCATGACAGATGGACTCCTGAAATGAGAGGACTGTGACTATGGAGTTGACTAGAATCACTGTAGAGAATACAATCATGAACACAACACTGTCCGATCATCAAGAATGAAAGAATTACTAAGAGCCGGAGGTTATGGTCACGTCGACTTACTTTCCAGGCAGTGAATTGTCGTTTTGTTTGTAATAGTCGGGCGCAAACCCCTCATACATGCACCACAAAGCCCAGTCGAAGGCGTGCGCTGCTGGCTGGTACTGAGTGACTTTGAGATCATCAAAGTTGACTCTGTCGAACACAGGAGACACCACCACCGTTCGGTCAGCCTTGATTTGTGTCAGCAGAGGTTCGGCCCTGTGTGCAGAGAAAACAGAGAGACAGGTCACGTATCAATGCAACAAACTTCCCTGTTTTAAACGTCCACAGTCAGAGAGGAGAGTCAAGTCAGTTGAATCAACACTTTTCTACATCCTTGTGCAAAATGATTCATGAGCAGGAGCTGGCATGTGTTGTGCATCAGTGACAGTCACTCCTTTATTTCCTCAATGACTGCAATAACAGGACTTGTTTGCTTTGAATAGTCTCCCACAACCCAAGTGAACATATGTGCAGCATTTGAAAGGTGGAAGGAGTTTTCAACGCTACTGATGCAGAGATGTTGCTAATATTGTCCATAAGTCTGTACTGTTTTGCTTTTTTTTTTTTTTTTAATACTTTATTTGTGAATTTTCTAATTTTTACAAACACAACCGAGGAAGACAAAAACAGATGTAATGCAATGAAAAGAAAAGAAAAGAAAAAAAAACAAACAGACAAAACACAGACAGGCAAACGGACAGGGAGAAGAAATAGACAAAAGCAGAAACTGCCAGTTTCAACTGCCAGGAGTCAAACAAGAAAGAGTCCACGTCAGGCCAAACTGTGCAGATTCCAGAGGTTAGAAATCTGGGATGTGGGTCCTAAAGGGTGGCACCAGATCAGGTCAAGGACATGATGATTGATTCCACACTCAGCCACATCGTGCAAGAGTGAACAATTTGCTGCTTGAGAACATTGAGAGGAAAAAATGAGAAAATAAAATATAGACCTATTCCTCCTAATTACAGATGACCTTCTTAGTCCTAATGTGGTCAATAAATGGTCCCCAGACCCGAAGGAGCTTTGAGTGTGCGTTGAACATCGTATACCGTATTTCTTCAAGGTAGATACAGGAGACCATGTCAATCAGCCATCTTTTGAAGCAAGGAGGAGGAACAGATCTGCAGTCCTTCAGAATCACCCTTTTAGCCATAACCATGCCGAATGAGAGGGCTTGCTGTACGTCTGCTGGAAGTGTCACGGAGAACTCAGAACAACCCAGTATCGCCAGAAGACAGTCAGGATCGAATTGCCTGTTATATATATTGCTATATGTATTAAATATATCACACCAAAAACTCTTGAGTTTGGGACAGGACCAGAAAAGATGGCCAAGTGTCCCATCACCTGACTTGCATTGACCTGACCTGTATTGTTTTTTAAACTTGTGCACAGGCTTGCCACACTATTAAAAAAACGAGTCTGTCAAAATGATTGCCAGTCTGATCAGCGCCCTCATTACCACCACCAACACAGTGCCCTTGTGCAAGGTGCTCGCCGTCCCATTGAAGCTGCTCAGTCGCCAGCAGATCAGACTGTGGTTGCACGAGGATCACACAGTAGTTTAGTGGGCAGCTGGAAATGTGTGTAACAATGTCAGTGTGTTTGAGTTAGATTATCCTGAATCAACAGGATAACAATGGCATCAGCTCCCTGGAGGCAGTCTGTATCTGATGTAAAACATAAGCTTAAAAATTTAAAGCAAATCTCAACCTAAGATTGGATTTTTAAAAATTGGGCGTGTTTAGGAAGACCGGTTAGCTTTGCTGCTACAGTATAACATCAAAGTCTTGAACTTGCACAGAGGGGTGACGGTTTAAAGGAAAACTAGAATCTTTTGGGGTTTTTAAAATTTATTTTGTAGATGGTCTTTTGCTGGTTTGGGTCCACTTCAGCCCTGTAGAGGGAAGGGTCACTGCAAGTCAACACAAAGATGTGCTGAGAGATCAACAGGTCTTTCCCAATGGGAGTGCCCTCTTCCAGGATGACAACGCCCCTAATCCATTTGGCACAAGAGGTCAGTGACTGGTTTGACGAGGATGTAAATGATGTGAATCATATGTTGTGACAAGTCACCAGATCTCCACCTAACTGAAAGTCTATCAGATGTTTTGGGCGGACAGGTCAATTACATTCTTCACCACAGTCCTCAGAATAGCAAATGAAGGAACACCCTTTGGCAGAATGGTGACCGGTCCCTCCAGTAGATGTCCAGAGACCAACTGTACATAGACCCTATTACACCTCAGTCAGACACTCTTTGATTTTTCACCTGTCTGTGCGCATAACTTCATAGGTGTTTGCCAGATTCCTACCACAACTCATGGACTTCGATGTGAGCGTCCAGGATGGCCACCACGTCAGCAGTAGCCGCCTTCCAACCGGAGACTCTGGCGTGAGCGAGGCCCAGCTGCTCGGTGTGCCTCACTCTGATAAAACGAAGATTTGGGTTCTGCTCCTCAAGCGACTTTATGTACATGTCAAGGTCCCCCTTGAGGTTTTCTGGATTGAAAAGAGAATACAAACATACATTCTGATATCAGGGAAGCACAGTTAGAGTTGTCTTTATAGAGTTTGCATGAGGTTGCGACAAGTTTCCAGGAGAATTAACCTAAATGAGAATCAGACAAATCTGAGAGGAAACCGCTGCTCTGATCATAGACACGACTTCCATTTTCACATATTACAGAAGGCTTTTCAGTCCGAGGGCCCTGTTATAAATGCTGTTCTCTTTAATTTGGTGTGGACAGAGCAACTGAGATTTAGAATCCTGCACTTCAACGTGACACCACCACTGTGTACAGGGTTGAGATTAATGAATGCACAGCTATTTGCACACACTGCACAGGAGTTTTGAGGAAGTAGCTTGACTCTCTTGGAATTTTCTGTATTTGCTTAGTTGCTGAGAGATAAATAAAGGTGTTGCCAGAACCTGATTTTCTTAGTTGAACATAAAGAAAACACCCCTTGGTCTTACCAGCAACAACAAAACCCAATTTCCATGGAACTCCAAAGCTTGGCACATGTCTTGTTTGGTTTTTGTGCACATTTAACAACTGACAAGTGGCTGTTTAACCAGGGGTTACATGCTGGAGGATATCTTGCATAACAGCTTGAGCAAGCTCTTTGTCTTCACAGAATGAAAAAATACAGAAAATATACTGTGAGCTTTAAAAAGGTTCTGGTAGGTATACTTTTTTGGAAGCTGGGCCCAGTCTTGTGTTAGCTTTAGCCTATGTTGACCAGTAAATATGAGAATAAAATGCTCAAAATGCTTTAAAAGGTGCGAGTTAATTTGACAAAGAGTTTTACAGGACGGCTGGTGAAAAGCGGATGCAGGTGTTCACAAAACACCTGGAAGGCAAACAGCGCCACGACCTAGAACCTACAACAACAGATAAGAACCTACAGCAACAGGGAAGGTAAGCTTTTGTTTATCGCCAGAGGTTTGCACAATCCCATGGTTTTGTAACCAACCAACCATTAGAGCTGTTGTCATCCACCATTATTATTTCCTTCAGTAGGTTTCGAGGGGTGCGGTCGATGATGCTGCGCAGCGCCCTTTTGATGACAGACAGGGCTTCGTTGAGGTAGATCAGCACCACACTGAGACTGGGCAGGTCCTTTGAATAAGTCTTTTTCAAACACCTGTGCAGAAAGAGAGCGATCCTTAGAAGAAAGTCGTCGTCTTTTGAAATAGAAAGTTGAAAACAATTGCTCCATGTACAGACAGTGTGAAAGTAAAGGTGTACCCTGGAACTCTGGTGTCTGGAAGAGGTCGATCCAGAGGAAGGCGGTCGCTGAGGAAAACGTTGTACCCGTACTTCTCATACAGAGCCTGAGCTTCCCTCTGGTCGTCCTCAGACAGACCTGCCCCCCACTCCTTGAACAGGGCAGACTTTGGGAACAGTTTGTTGGACTTCTTCTCGTTGTCGGCCTCCTTCTCCTTCTCTGTGTCGGGCTGCTGTTTCTTCCCCAGTTGCTGTTGGACGACCGAGTCCAGGAGCGCTGCAGCGTTTACCCGCTTGGCTTTGTCCTCCTCAAGTATTTTCTTCATGTCATTCTGCCTTGACTCAAAGGCTTTGATGACTTTGTCTTTAAATTTGAGAGATTCGGGAAGACGGGGGGAGAGGACAACATAAGCCAAAGACGTCATGAAAATACCAGATATAAATAAAAGATGAAGTTATGTTGCTGTTATTTTGAATTATTTGAATAAGAGTCCAGATTTTAGTGGGAATGGTCGTTTTATCGTTTGTATTCCACTGAGAAAAACATTAAATGATTTTGAAAAGAAGGGATTTTTGTGTGTACCAAACAAACATGTTCCTGTCCGTCTGGTGAACATGATTTGGAAGCTGTGCGTCTCCGTGGCGCCAACATGCTTCATTTATGACGATACTTTGTGACCATTTTTCCTTTATCAAAAATTAAAATCAAAACAAATTGCAGCTCCTAAGGATTTGGATAATGTATTTATCCACATTACAAGTCTGATAACATTTTATTTAATTGTTCAGCCTTAGAAAGTACAAGATTTAAAATAAACAAATAAATAAAAAGTTAGTTAAAATACGTTATTATCCTCGATATTCCTAGTTTAATGCAAATTTGCCAGTTTTCTGAGCCAAATAAAGCAGCTTTCTGGAGATTAATGTTATTAGATAAAGCTGTAAAAACACAGTAAACTGAATAAAACAATAATAATAAAAAAAATCTACATAAACTGTAGAGAAAATTATTCAATAACTAATAATTTTTTGCACCTCTGTTAAAATCTGACCTGATCTATCATTGATAAACAGAAACGTTCAAGAAAATAAAGGCTCCAATTACAGCCATCCATCTAATATTACAAAACCACATGAGCCAATAACTTTTTTCTTTTTCCCTTTTCGACTCTAATTAACGAGACATTTTCATCATCTGTTGTCATTTTGCACCAAGCATGCAGCTGCTAATTGCCATAAATTACTTTTAGAATTCAGATTTAATCATATTTTATAAACACATCATCATCATCGTCCTCTTTTAGTAGTAAAACATAAAATAAATGAACTCTTGCATCCCCTGCAGTAGAAGCGCTCCACTCACAGAGGTTGCTGATGCTCGCCTCCAGGTCAGAGAAGTTCATCCGCGGCGGCTCCTGCTGGTCCACAGAACCCGCTCTCTGCTCATGTCCGTTCTTCAGGAACATGCCCAAGTACACGACCAACCCGATGCCCCCCAGGACGAGGGCTGACCGCTTTACCGCCGCTGGTCTCATTCTGCTGCCACCAGGAGCGACCCCCGAACCGGACAATAAAAAAAAAAAAACGACGCAGTCAAACACACACACGCAGGAAGCTCGCAGGTTACCGGGCCGACGGGTTGGACCAGCGGACTGACATGATGCATCTACATGATGATGTCTGAGGATGAACGATGGTCTATTGTTTGCAACCCGCTGACTCTGAGGTCAGCGCTCTGCTGCCGCCGCCTGACCATATTAGGCACAGGTGTTCCTCATGAGTGGGCTGACGTCACGGCTTCACCTGCGCAGCACGCCCAATCAGAGCGACCGCAGCTGAAGTTTAGCGTAACAAATTAGATTCTAACAACAACCTGTCAGCAAATAAACAAAAATAAAGAATAACAGACACATGATGATCACAGTGGTGGCCTCATGCTGCAGCTTCCAGATCAAAAAGTCATTTTTTCAGTCACTCATTGGTGTTATTTGCTAACGCAGCCCAGGATTCCCATCAGAGCCACTAGAATGACTTACATACAGTATGGTTAGATTTTTATGTAGCCCTCAGTTTATTAAAACTCTTGCTAAAGTTGTGTTTTTTTTTCTCTTCCAGTTGCTGATTAAGCTCATAATATGATTACAATTGAAATTGCACAGAGCTGGGGAAAGATGTCCCTCAGAAACAACGTCTATTCTCTTTCAAAGAGAATGTTTGATTAAAGTCAACATAACATGTCCACAGTAAGTGTGCTTACGGGCTCTGAGATGGAGGATCTCCTGCTGGTGCCCAGAGTCAGGACCAAACACGCTGAGGCTGCGTTCCAGTTTCATGCAGCTGAAACCTGGAACTGGATTTCAGAAGGTGTGAAACAGGTCTCAACTCTGACCATGTTCAAATCCAGGCTGAAAACAGTTCTGTGTAGTTGTGCATATGACAGCTGAAAGCATTTTATCTGTACTGATGATTGATTGACTTTGTCTGCCTCTTTGCTTTTAATGCAATTAATTATTAATTGTGTTTAAGTTCTGTGGACTGATTTTATCTGTCTTCTTGTACTTTTTGTGTGAAGCACTTTGAATTACCTCGGTTACAAATTGTGCGATACAAATAAACCTGTCTTGCCTTCATTAACTGAACAAACTTTTAATAAATCTCACCAGACTACAGCTTTGTTATTGTAAAACAAAATCTGAAATCTTCCCCTCACAAGGAGAACAAGCCCCAGGGGGTAATCTGATCTCACAAGATACTTTGACCAATATAAACTTGTGCAACAATATTCTCACTTCTTAAGCTTTATCTGACTTTAACTGCAACAAAAATGGGAAATAATCACTTGCAGAAATTAGATTTGATTTCCCTTGAAAATGGCGTCCCGGTGGGGGCACCAGAATCTTTCTGCGNTACCCTATTTAAATTTACATTAATTGTTGTCATTCCTCAGAAAACCTGGAGCCCCACTCAGCGCCCTTGGAGATTGGCCACCCAGAGGTCGGTCGCTACTTCTCCGAGTTCGCTGACACCCACTATGTTGCCAATGAAGAACTGCAGACACGATACCCAGAGGACATGGATGAAACCCTGGGTACAGTGCAGGAGCTCTACCACAGACTGACGCCTGGCTCTGCGAACCAAGAGGAGGCTCCTGCCACAGACCAAAACAGCCACCAAGCCATGTCCATGTAGCAAGGAGCTGTATCTGGCGCTTTGTCGTCCAACTACTACTAACCAACTACTGGTCACCCATTCTCAATTCACAATCCACTTAGCTGCTGCTTTGTTGCACTTATTCAAGTCTAGGTCGTGTGTATCAGAGAGGTTCTTTTGTTTAGAAAAAAAAAAACAGTATTGTTATTGTTGTTGCTTTGATACACATATCCAAATACCACAATGTATTTGTTGCGGAAAAAAAAAAAAGTTCAAACTATAGAATGATATGATGCTTGTTGGGGAAGACATCTTCAAATCCAGTGACAAGCCTGAAAAAGTATTCAAACTCAGAATCACGCATTAGTATACACCATGAAGAAGAAGAAAACACATTTGGAATAAACAGTTAAGTGGACGAGTAAATTCAGGATGAGTATCCAGGTGCTGTAAATCCCCCCTTTGCCTAAAACCAAGGAATGCTCCTTTACCCACAACCCCCTGCATCCAGCACCAGTCTACAAAGCATATACCCTAACCCCCAGGTGCAGTGCCACACGAAAGACTATAAAGAAAACACTTTGTAAATTAACTTTTATTCCCCATCTTTTAACCAAGTTTCATGCACTTACGAAAATCTAACTTTCACATTTCTAGATATTTTTTTTTTCTGTATATTTACAAGTGAAATGTGTAGGATGCCATGGCTCATCAGTGTCTTTAATGGAAAAACTAGACGAACCAATAAGGACACCAGTGACTTGAAACAGAAATGACTCTGAGCTTTGAGGAAACTAAAAAGAAAAAAATAAAGCGTTTCAAGTTTTAGTAGTTCCTCTCTGACTTATTTTGCACACCAAGTGAGTGTATGCATTGCTTTATTGTTGTAATGCACAATACTAACCACCATTCACTGCAGAAAGTCCACTGACGGGAAACAGGAAGGCAGCAGGTAATTTATCCATAAGCTGTATGGATTTAGGACCTTGAGGATGCCAGATGTTTCCAGGCCGCCTGCAGCAGACTACAGTTGCACTGAGCCGCCGATAGCAGCGCGATAAAGCAGCAGCAGCACGGAAAAGTTTATCCAGTCGAACCAGCTTGTGCGCCTTTACGCACCGGTGGAACAGCAGTGATGGGAGCTTCGCAGACGCGCGCCGCAAATAAGTACCAGGACCTGACGGAGAAAACTGGATGTAAGTACGGAAAAGTACATGGGTTCATATTTATTGGGGACTGTGTAACTTTTAGTGTGCGGCGCTGTTTGTATTGAATGGTTCGATTTTGGTGAAATTGGGTCGTTGAGGAAATGAAAGGTGCGACAGGTACCTTGACAATCACCGATCATTGTACTAAAGGAAGTTTTTTGTTTTGTTTTTTTAAAAAACTATCCATTAGTAATTAGATAGTTGAGGCAAATCCTGCTTATATCAATAAACGAGGTAAAATTAAATGGTGTAAAATGGTGAACATTTTACGCATCATATGCCTTTTTTTGTCCACACCCGCTAGTTTCTATTAATAAAGTATTTCTTCACACCAACAATCCATGCTATGCGGGAGTTACCTTAACCTTTTACAATAGTTGTTCTTGCATTTATTTATAGTGCAGGTATATTTACTTACAGTGTAGTATAGTCTTTTTTTCCTTTCTTTCTTTCTTTGCACGGTCAAGTTAGCAGAGTTCAGAGGTGCTACAGGTTGGGCCAACTGCAGTGAAACACCTTATCTGGCTTCATAAATTCCTTTATTTGAATAAAAAAAGTTGGATAAAGAAGTGAAACAAAAAGTGGACAAACAACAGAAGTGGGAATATTTAGTTTTACTCAAGGCAAGAGCCTGGTGTGAAACCTCTGCATGCGGTGGCATGAACAGTTACAGTCCAGACTGAGCCCTAATTTATTGATACTGTATTGCTGAGACTTTGAACTGTTTTATTGCTTCCCCAAGGTGAGGCTTTGTCCCAGTTTCTCAGTGGGCTCATTTGAAGTTTTCTTTATGGATTTATAGCATGTGATGTGGACAGTCTGATGAAATGTCCCATTGCACTAACAGGCGTATACTTCATGGTAAGGCACAGATGACATATTTTGTTGTTATTTTTCTTTGCATGTGGCTAATTGCTCCATGTAACTGAGGTCAGTTGTGTTAAATCTGCAGCTGCTGACCATGCATATGTAATAGTCACACCACACAGACTGACAAACAGACTTGTTTCAGTATGAGGCAATAGTCTGCAGTCCCAGTTGCTACTGCAAACATCCATTTAGCTGCCGCTGAGAGCAGGAAAAGATGTGAAAATAAACACACATGTTTACAGAAACAATTGAAAATGCCAAACCCGTCTTTACACGGGGCCAGACAGAACCAGATTATGATGTTTGAACCTTTCAGTATGCGGCTGCTAGTCCACACAGTGAGTTAATGATTTAAGGAAGCATTTGAAATGACATGAAAAGGTATGTTTGCTTTGCCATTTGGCTGATAGCAGAGTTGCACCTGATCGGTTTAATAAAAAAATAAGCCACTGTGCAATTATAGAACAGTCTGTGACACTTAAGCAGAAAAAGGATTATGTACCTCTGAGTGTGAATATTCATTTGTTTTATTACTGGACATCCCAGAAAAACAGCTGGAGGATTGCAGGAGGCCAGTTGATGGGTGAGGACTGATTATGGGTGGATCTCTGACGTCGCTTCATGTTGTTGGTGTTTGCTTCTTTTCAGTTTCAGCGGAGCAGATCAAAAACCTTCACACAAGATTTCAGCAGCTCAGTGGCAATGAAGAAACAATAAGGTAAATGTTCAAAACAAACCAGCACACGTGTTTGGCAGATCTTTACTGGTCAGCTTGCACGTGGCTTTAGTGGAGGGCGTTCAGTCTTGGCTGCTGAAGATGAAACACTAGTAGGTAGCATGGTGGCTGCAGTGGATTGTGGGTATTTCTGGTATGTCTGGCACAGGCACAAACAAGCAACATGTGTTGACACACACAAAGTGAATTACTACTAATGCAGACACGTTAGGTAAATATAATATGTTGATGTATTGTAAGCGTAAAGCCAACTCACACTGTATGCACACAGTCGGTCATGTGTCAACCCGGCATTGCCACACTGCCATGCTGGTAGCGACGAACCATGAAATTCTTTCTAAAAAAACAAAACAAAACGCGGAACAAATGTTTTACGGGTATTTCTCCTGCCAGTTTATATTTAGACACAGACATTGTTCACACTACTTCTCGTACATTCTGTCTAGTATTACTTGAAAGTGTAAGAACATGCTGACACTGTACATTAGTGTCTGTTTTATGGTAACAGAGTTTCTCCTGTCGCACTGCAGCAGAGAAAGCCTGGAAAACATATCGGCCCTTTCCAACAACCCAATCAGAAAGCAAATCATTGAGGCATTCTTCGATAAAAGGTGGGTGCATTCACATCACACCACATTCTGTCTGTTCTCCATATGGGTAATTTGCATTTCACTTCATATTATTGGAACACTTTCCAAACTAAAGCCCTGTTTATTATGTGATCAGTCAAAAGTTGACAAGTTCTAACATCCATATTTACCAAAGGTCAGACTGTCCACACAGTGACATTTATCAACCTACATGCACAGCAAATATTAAATGTAAGATATCTGCCTTTATCTGCTGTCCATACAATGGACATTTGTTTTCTTAACTGGAGGAAGTCTTCATAAACAAAAGCCGTAAAAGCAGCAATAAAGCTTCCTTTGTGCTCTACGTGTTGAATTACAATTCTATTACGGTAAATGAAATCCTCAAATAAAGGACAGGTTCAGCCTCTTGGGAAATAATCATTTGCAAGATGATTGATACCACAGCTGCTGCTGGTAGGTTACATTTGTCATACATGCAGAAACAACAAAAATGAGTGTGTAAGGTGATTAGTTAAATATCAAATGAGTCCAAATGTTATGGCCTTACAATTTTGTATCACTTATTTGCTCTAATGTTAAACGAAAAAACGAACAGTTTAGATTTGCTATATATAAAAAAACATTTAAACTCAGTCATTGCTGAGATTAAAATCTTTTATTTTTTCAGTGCTATGTATGTTTACCTTTATTTTTGATGACAGACTCAGTCCTGTCTTACATGGATGACTCCGTTGTCCACAAATTGTTGGAGAAATATTCTGCCACACCTCAGATACTTTTTTTTTCCAACTTCTTGCTGGAGGGGTTCATTTGCTTCGCTTTTCTCTTTAAAATATTTGAAAGGTCTTCCGTTGGATTCAAGTCAGGCGATATATTTGTCCAGGTCGTAGCTTTCACTGTTTTCTTCCTTAGAAAGCTCTTGTGTGATTTTGGGAGTGTGCGTTGCATCGTTATCAGGCTGTAATATTCCTCTTCTGTCAAGCTTCTGCTGACTGGGACTCATCCTGTCAGCCAGTATTTAACTATATCACAGGTGCTCATGGTGCAGTCTATAAATTACATCTCCTCAACAGCTTTTGCACTCATGCGTCCTCATATCATCCCACTCCCGTCTCCGTGCTTCGCTGCCAGGACGATGCGTTCACTGTGTTAGTCCTGGCCTAGTTCACACTAAACATGCTGGCTCTCAGCTGAGCTGAATACATTGGACTTGGGTTGACAGGGTTTCTTCATAAACGCTGTCGAGAAGTTGACATTATTCAGAGTCCTTCATACTGACTGAGCTGTTACAGAAAGTTTGATGTCTATTTATAGCCCTTGTGCCAAATCTGAAGCATTTGCTCATCTGTTTTTCAGAGCTAGATTGTGCAAGTAATGCACTTTTTGTAGTAGCATTTTAGGCCACTGCAGCTCTGATGAATGGTGCTATTGCTTGTTCTAAACCTCCTGATTACCTAAACCTAAACCTCCTGGTGCATCTCTGTTCCTACTGATTGTTAGTTGGTCGCTGATCTCACTATATGCTTTTCTATTTTATAGAACCAGATTTTTCAGCTCCTCTGACAGTTCGTTATATATCTGGGGCCATGATTCAGCCATACATATAGACACAGGACATAAGTCATAAACTCAACAAGTTCTAGTGTTGACAGGACATTTTATAACAATGCTGATGCAGTTAGGGTGATTGGAAATCAGGTGTACCCAAATTTGTTTCTGTAATTTCTAATTTGAGTGTCGCTAATCACAAGTAGCTTTTGTTGCACCGAGTTCCTACTTTGTATTTTCAATAGTCTTTGTCTTTGATTTGTCATTACGTGAAACACTCAACTTATGAATGACATTGCACACACCGTAGGAGTGGCTTTATTACTTTAAAGTCTAAAGGTATTTGTTTCTCCGCGTACTGAGTTTGTGCAGTGAGTCACCTTTACTGGTATTGTTATATTTGTTGTTATTGTACTGTTACTATGAACGAGGTTAGCATTGGTCTTAAGAGGAGAGTTAAGGTGCACTAACTCTAAGAGCGTTCACATTTGTTTCATCAAATCATTCTTTTTGTTTCGGCATTTGAAAACAACAGTAGAAAGGAAATACACTTAAAACAAAATATGTATTTGGTCTTTTAACAAGAGGAAGCATTAAAACTGACCGTGTCATTGCTATGAAGAGACAGTTGTTGACTTTTTAAAGCCAGTAGTTGTCATGTGTTGGAAAGTGCAAATGTAACAAAACAAACCACAATGCAGACTGTCCAATGAAAAAAAAAGCCGTCTGTGAGCACATGTGACTTCTGCACACAAGTCATGTGCACAAGTGGGAGAAAAAAAGGAACAAACAAACAAAAAAGTAAAAATCAATGAGCCTTTTTGCTTTTGTTTTGGACTGTTTGAAATAAGATTCTAGAGGCATGATTGCATGATGGGGCTTCATATTTTCTGACTTTACAGCAATTGTTGAAAAAAAAAATACTCCAAACTGGATACAAATGGTCTGTTTACAACTTGAGGAAAATACTGGTACTTCAACAAGCTGTACTGTGGGGTTTTATATTTTATTTTGCATCCCTTCATCCTTTCCTGATTGTGTTCTGTAATGTACAGCACTTTGTGATACATGCCATGTATGAAAAGTGCTTTATAAATAAAGTTTGATTGATTGATACTGGTTGAATTTTAATCCTCGTTGCCTAAACGTTGATTTCGTTGGACTGTGACCCAGGAACCAGCATCAGAATGAGGTGGGCACCTTCCAGGAGATCTCCTTCGAGCAGTTCCTCATGGTCATGTCCCACTTCCAGCCTCCAACTTTGAAAACGACGGAGGAGGAGAAGGAGGCTATGAGGAAAGAGAAGCTTCGCTGTAAGTCATTTCCACCATTGATTAATACGAATGCTACATGTAGCACTGCGTTTATTGATGACAAATCATTGATGTAAATCTTCTTTATCAATCACCACCAACCTGCTGGACAGAGTGTGTTGACAGCATGTCAGCTATTACGCTGGAGAAGCTCATAAGTATTCATGACTTGGCTGGGAACGTAGCCAGGACAGGCGCTTTACAACCACTACCGTCACGAGTAGAACGAGATGATTTGTAGCTACAGAGCTGGGACTCATGTTAAGCGACAGATATCGCTATAACATTTGCTAATAATCCATTTGTTGATCTGTTCCAGGAATTATTTCACAACGATGGGTGGTAGTTTACATTTTTTTGGTGTATCTTCCTCCCCTCAAGCTGCCTTGTGTGATTTATGACCTACATTTCCCAGAATTCCTTCTACAAACTGAACAAAATTGAGTAAAAGGGCATTTACTTGGTGCAAGAGTCACATGTGTTGCAAGAGTTACAAATCTGTAAATGTGAAGATGCACAATTTAAACACGCTATCATCATTAACTGAAATGACAGTCGCCTGGATCAGTTTTTTTGTGTTTTGGCCTTGTTAAAGCTGAAATATAACCTAAGGGTTCCGTTTTTAAGATAATTTCAGTAAAAAGAAACTGTCTTCGTACACATCCTGGAGCAAAGTTGTCAAAGTAAAGTGAATATATTGACACAGCATTAATTTAGGCATGGTCTCAGTAGACTCTAAAAGCTGTGTTTTAAGTTACTCCTTGTACATGCGATTGGGAAAACACACATAGGAGGGAGGTAAATATAAAACATGTGGTGCAGATAGTGCTTAACACAGATGAAAGGATGTAAATTTTGGTCCTGGTGTCTCATGAGAGCTCACTGTGGGTCTCTAATTGGAGCCACAGTTCTTCCTCAAATTGCGAAATATCTTTAGCAGCCCTGGATTCTATTTTTTTTTTTCTTTTTTTCAGAAGGAATTCTCTTTTGCTTCTATTTTGAGTTGTATTATGTGAGGGCTGTGAGGCCGACTTCACCAGGGGGGCTGTAGGACATTTGCAGAGGGGTAATGGAGCATGATACTGAATGAGCTGAGAGGGAGCAGGAGCATTGCTGCTGCTGCTCCAAAACCAACGGCTAGTTTAGTCTATTGATTTGATCCAGAGGTTAACAGATGGAGCTGTGATGGATATTGCACTTTAATTCCCTGACTGACTAATAAAAACTGACTCTCTGTAGTAACGTCCATCGTGAGCAAACGTCACACAAAAAGACGCTCGTTAGAAATCCCTGAAAATCATCTGATTTCTTTTTTTGTGTGATAGCAGTCGGCCCTGGATGCACTGCAGACACAAAGTTAATATCCTTTTAACTGCAGCTTACTAACAATGCCTGCCCTGACACTGAATAAATGATAGTTCTCGCAAAAAAACCTACTTTTTCATGTTTAGTGCCACACTTTAAAAACCACCTTGTCTGATAATGTGTTTCCTCCGCATAAGGAAATGCACTCGATAAGTGACTAATGTGTCCTGTAGTCTCGCAGCTCCTTTTTAGAATAAATGGAGATAACAAAAGCAGTTTGCTCTCCAAGGTTTGCATGAATCAGATCGGTTGCTTGCTTGTTACATTATTTTTTTTTAAGTAATGTGAATTTTCAAAAACATTTCTCAAAAGTTTCAATTATTTTTTTTTTGTGCTCTCCCTTGGGGGTGAAGCCAGGTGGTTACGCTGCCAGCACAAACACAATTTTCTGGAGAAAAGTAACGGTGACACCTGGGAAAAAAAAGAGCTTTGATAAAGGAGATAATTGCCACAATAAAATGTGTTTGTCTCCTATCTGATGATAGATCGTGTCCAGTCCTGCTTTGCTTCACACACACACACGCATACACCATTTATCTAAGTGTGTTTCGCTGCATATATTTCCCACATAGTTTATTTCTTTTCATACCATCGCATTGATAAATTTGTCACCCAGGAAAAAAAAAAAAGGAGCCAATTTGACATCAGATCTGACATTCTCTCATCAAAATGTCGGCGGATGTTTCCCAAGGGAGCAAACTGGTATTTGTCTTCACCGGTGCTGTAGGACTGTTGAACATTTCTCGTGGCTCTGAATCTTATAAATGTCACTGCAACTGCAAAAAGTGACATTTCAAAGGTGTTTCGTGGCCACAGCGTCACTCAGCCGTTTTTCTGATACGGCTTGAAGGACCTGCCTCGCCATTGTGCTCTCTTATCTCCGCATCGAATAAACATTCTTGTAATCATAACTTCCTCTGACCCATTAGTAAGAGCCTGTGAGTGGATGATGGAATCTTCCTGAGAAATCAAACCAACCAAGTTTTTTTTTTTCTTTTATCTTTCCAGTCCTGTTCAACATGCACGACACAGACAACGACGGCACCATTACTCTGGAGGAGTACAGGAAGGTAAGGCTGTGATTATGTGCTTTGTAACACTTAAACAGCATACAGTTATCTACAGTCATGTATTAAGTCCATAATGTTAAAGTACATTAAGATACATAAAATTTATCAGCTTGTATTATTAGGTTGCAGCAGTCCCATCCCCTGATTTTAATTTAGACTTGATACTTCTTTTGGATTCTATGTCCAATTAAACTCCTGCTGTCTTTGCACATTTCTGCATACAGAGAAATGACAACTCTCAATGTAAGAAAATTTAAAACAAAAGCTTCTGAAAATTAAATTTCAACTTTAAAACCGGACTCAGACAAAACAAAC